GCCCTGAAGTCCCTTTTAATTGCTTTCGTCCTTCTCTCCACAACCTCAGCGCTTCCAACCTGCATGACCAATAGTGGGCAGTGATCAGAGGCTGTATCAGACCAGGGAGCTTCCTGGTGACATCTCTAACCCAGGCCCCAGGGAGGCAGCAGACTTCCCTGTGTAAAGGGTCTGGTCAACATATTGGGCCCTCTGTTCCCCTCCAGAGGGAATCACCTATGACAGTTACACTCCTTTTTTTCTTACCTGAGACAGTCACAATGCGTGGGGCCGACTGTCTCAGCTCAGGTGACCCCCTGGATGGACCTTCATCTTCCTCCTTATTTTCCTGGCCCTCCAGTTCCAGTGCCCCATATCTATTGCGTAAAGGCAATTGGGAGGGTGAGGAAGGTTGGGAGGGGATTCGCCTGCCCCCCGGGGCTGGGACCTGTTTCCATTCTCCCCCTTTTCTTAGGTCCCTTCCTTTATCCTGCTGGTAAGAGGGGAGGGGATCCTCTGCTTCTTGTGGAGCCTCTGTCTCCTGCCTTTGCCTCAGGGATGGTAGGGTGCAGCTCCACCCATCTATCTCCTGCTCACACTCCCTGATACTCCTCAATCTTGCCACTTCCTCCTGCAATTTGGCCACCTGTTCTAGGAGCTGGGCCACCTGGGCACACCTATTGCAGGATGGTTTGTCTCACATCCCTACCCCAGGAGAGTAATTTAGGCACCTCCCACATACCAAGGTCTGTACGGTTGCCTCTGCCGTCTGAAGCTTTTTAAACAAAAGGCTAAGAAACAGAGACAGAAAGAAGAGTCATTATAGAAAAGGGAAATAAGAAATAGAAAGGGAAGAAATGAAGGAAGTTAATTTTTCCACTGAAACAAGAAGCAAATAAAAACAGCAGAGGAGGGGGAAGAAAATCAAACTGCAGGGAAAGAAAAGTTAACAAAGCACAATATTTTTCAGACTCAGTAAGAGTATAAAAGGGTTCAAGGAATTCAGAAGATCCTAACAAAGCAAAGAGGCAATACACAGGGAGAGGATAAAACCAAGAGATACCTATTTTACATTTTTTAAAGAGTTTTCTTAAATATTTATGTACAATAGTTTTAATTGAATGGTTCAAGTATTACAGGTGACAGCACAATTAACAGTTAGTATATAATGTTCATAGTATACACTACATAATGGAGCAGAGAAAGGGACAAGATCTAAACACATAATCTGGAACCAAACAATGATAAAAGCAGATTGAACAAAATCAGCACACAGTTCAGAAAAGAGCCATTATTAAAATTCTTTTATGACTACAAACCTTTTTCTTGGAAGTTTTCATCGAAGAAAAACATATTAGAATTGAGATAATGTCTCTTGCTCCTCTCTGCACCACACAGGTTCTTCCAGTAGGAAACAGTAAAGGGAAAGTACCATCGGTTCTTTAATCCAAATTTTCCTAGATTATAATTATGATAGAAACTATTGCAATTTACAGTCATTTCATACTATTTTGTAGACTACTAATGTCCTATCATTAACTACAAAGAGCTGGTTAGACCATCTAATTAGCTCAAACTCTTATCTGCACTAAACAAAACTTAATAAAGTAGAAAAAAGTCATTTGGCCATAACACCAGGTCCTGCCATAAAATAATCAATCCTCAGTGATACCGTGCTTTACCCTATCTCCAAATCATCTTTAAAGTGTAAGAGAATAATGGACTTAATCATATGTAGTCACAGCCTAACATAAACTTGTAACCTAGTGGAAAGAAAAGGCACCAAATGGCCTGCCACGGCAAAGAGTCTTATTTTTTATCGGCAAAGAGTCTTATTTTTTATTATAACAATAATCCATTGCACCAGTCATTAAAGATTATTATTCTATTACTATCTGTACAACTCACACAAATCATCCAGCATAAGAAACATTTATTGTAGCATGCAAACAGAAAGGGCAAAAATATGCTCCTATACACAACTTTGGCATTGCCTGATCTTTCCAGTCTTCACTTATCAATCACACAACACTCTCTCCCTGTGTTTGGAGTTGCATTTCATTGACACTGAAGGGTAGGTATCAATTTAAGCTAAAGTTCATAAAATTCAATTGCATGTTCCACACACCCCTGTCTTTCAAAGCAAAATTAATTTTTTTATTTTTATATTTTGAAAACAAATACAGAGTAGCTGGAAGTTGACATACCAAATCAGAGGAAGGTAAATTTCAAACAGCTAATGAGGCATTGGACTAAGATTAAAAATGGATCAGTCAACTCAATAATATCCATAAATCTTGATTAATGAAAAAAAAATTCCCACTACTTTCTGAAAATATGCTTGGAAGTTAATTTTCTTATGCATTGGACTGTGGACTGACTGGGACCAAGATACAGTTACCAGGCAGTTCAAAGTCTTTGTGATCTGAAAACGTGATGTAGTTCATGGGTTTCATCTCAAGTACTCAGAAGATTCACAGCTTTCACAGGAAGTTTTGCTAGTAGACTGAGTTCTGTTGCTGTATAGTACCAACAAATTCCTAAGTCCTTCAAATATTAGTCATCCCTGTAAGCAAACAGATATTTCATGCTTGGCTACAAATTCTAGTCCATGTGTTATCACCACTCAATATTTATGTATGTAGGAAGACTTTCTTAATCCCTAAAGGCAATCAGGCAGCTTTGCACATTGAAACCTTAACTCAGAAAAGGTATGTTTTTGTTCTAGTTGCATACAATGAGGAAAGTCAATTCTACCCATTCCATTCAATAACTTCTTCAAGAACATGAAATAATAACAACTCAATGATCTTACCAGGAATAATATTGCTGAAATACCAGCCACCTATAGAATATAAAATGGAGTCAAAGAACATCATCCAGCACATCCATCCAAAGGTCATGTATCCTCCTTGTGCCATTGGCTGATTCACATTATCCCACTGTATTCCTGGTAATAATAGTAGTAATAACAATGATTTTTAAAATGTCAAAGCTAAATCAATATAGCATTAAAGATCACAAACACATCAACACCACACACTTCTGGGTAATTAAGCACTGACACAAAAAAACAACATGGTTAGTAACAGTAATCATAATGAATAGAAATTAATTGCTATGCCTCTACAAGCCTCTATTTAGAACAGCAGGTAACACTGCTGCTGGGAAAAGAAACTGGCCCTTAATTTACCAAAAGAAAACTATGATTCTCTGACAAAATGGGGAACTGACCTCTTCAATGCGTCATACTTTATGTCATTCTGCTGATATTAAAGACATGTATTACACGAAGTTTAAAGTAATTTCTGTAATGCTAAATCTGAAAACTTAGATCTGTGAATTCTAACTAAGAAGCAAGTATTTTTGTGCATTAACTGTATTCAGGGGTAAACTGGAAAAACAAACACACTGAATAATTGCTCCATAAAGTTATTACATTGCAGAAGACATGAAAGGAAGAAAGAAGATGCAAAACACTAGTACTATAGAAAGTTACTATATGGCTAAATGGAAAACAAAAGTAACCAGACTGTAGATTTATGAAAAGCACTGCACTTTTTTTTGAAACTGTTACTTTGTTTGCAGTGCAATGAGTCATGATATTGTTTGTACAATTCTTTATCTATGATTTTCAAGAAAAGCAGTTTTTCCACAAAGCACGTTTTGCCCTTTCTTCAGTAAAGGTGAGTCATTTGATGAAGTGCCTGGTGGGAAATTTAAGTAATATTTTCTGCAACTCTCTCTATCACTCTTACCAACTTGTATCATTATGATGCTTTTTTAATGCCTACTGGTTTGAAACATCAACTGTCATCAATACTGACCTTGTAGTCGTAAAAAAAAAAAAAAAAAAAGGATTACATTCCTTTATATATTTAGATGTCTAAGTGCATATCCTTTATAGACATTTATCAAGGGCCCAGACATTCACTTCTTACTTTTCTAGAACTTCAGCATTGATAAGGGCAGTGCTTAGCTTGGGGATAATAGGGATCACCATGTTAAAACTTGTAGCAACCTATTAGAACATTTAGGTAGTTCACAAACTTTTTTCTTCCAACATTTAAACATAATAGTGTATTCTCATGCATTTCTGCACCTGCGCAGTAGCTCAGTGGGGATTTCATCCACTCCTCCAAGCTTGCATAAGCAAGCTGCTGCACTGGCTGAGTACAAATACGGTCACACAGGAGAAACACACAATATACAACATAAAGGTATTTTTTTTTCTTACTTTGCAAGGTGTAATAGTTAAATATTCACCTTAGCATTATGTTGAGAGTGAATAACTTACACTGCTTGTGTTCTGTACAATATCGTTCTCATAAACCTCCATTATGTTATACACTAGTGGATGTGTGAACTCAGACACATCTACCAAGGTCAAAAGCAGTCCAACCCAATGAATAGGAAGTCAAGTAAAAATGCCAGGAGGCCTGCATGGATGAAAAAGGAGATCCTGGCCAAACTCAAACACAAAAAGGAAGCATACAGAGAGTTGAAGCAAGGACGGATAAACTTTGAGGAATACAGAAATATTGTTTGAGCACCTAGGGATGAAGTTGTGAAAGCTAAAGCCCAAATGGAATTGAATCCAGTCAGGCATGTCAAAAACACAAAGAAGAGCTTCTATAAGTACATAGGTGACAAAAGGAAGACTAGAGGAAATGTGGGCCTAACCAGACCTGGTTACACAGGATGTGAAAAAGGTTGAGGTACTGCATGCCACCTTTGCCTCAGTCTTTACAAGCAAGTCAGGTCTTCAGAAATCCCAGGTCTCAGAGACTAAGGGAAAAGTCTGGAGAAAGGATAATGAATCTTTGGTGAAAGAGGAGCAGGTCAGGGAATACTTATGGAAATTGCACATACATGTGCAGGTCCATGGACCCTGATGGGATGCACCCAAAAGCACTGAGGGACCTGGCAGATGTCATTGCAAGGCCACTCTCAATAGTCTTTGATCAATGATGGCAATTGGGCCAAGTGTCCAAAACCCAGAGAAGAGCAATTATCACCCCTATCTTCCAGAAGGAGGACCCAAGGAACTGCAGGTCAGTCAGCCTCATCTCGATTCCTGGGAAGGTGGCAGAGCAGGTAATCCTGGAAATCATTTCCAGACACATGATGGACAAGAATATCATCAGGAGTAGCCAGCATAGCTTCACCAACAGGAAGTCATGCTTGACCAACTTGATTAAAGTTCTATGATGAAAGGACTGTCCTGTTAGATGAGAGGAGACTAGTGGATCTTGTCTACCCGGACTTCAGTAAGGCTTCTGACACTGTGTCCCACAAGATCCCCCAAACAAAGCTAACAGAGTATGGGCTGGAGGAATAGACAGTGAGATGGATTGCAGACTGGCTGAATGGCCAAGCCCAGAGACTGGTGACCAGTGGCACGAAGTCTAGCTGAAAGCCAGTAACTAGTGGTGTGCCCTAGGGACCAATACTGAGTCTGATCCTGTTTAACACCTCCATTAATGATCTGGATAACGGGGCAGAGTGTACCTCAGCAAGTTTGCTGATGACACAAAACTGTGAGGAGTGGCTGATATGCCAGAGGGTCATGCTGCCACCTAGAGAGGCCTGAACAGGTGGTGAAAACAGGCTGACAAGAACCTCATGAAGTTTAAGTGCAAAGTTCTGCACCTGTTGAGGAACAATCCCATGTACCAATATATGCTGAGGGACACCCAGCTGGATATCAGCTTTGCAGAAAAGGACCTGGGGGTCCGAGCAGATACCAAGTTGAACATGAGCCAGCAATGTGCCCTTGCCACAAAGAAAGCTGATGATATCCTGGGCTGCCTTAGGCAAAACATTGCCAGCATGTCAAAGGAGGTGATCCTTCCTCAGCACTGGTGAGGCGACACCTGGCATGCTGCATCCAGTTCTGGGCTCCCCAGCACAAGAGAGGCATGGAGGTATTACAGAGAGTCCAGCAAAGGGCCACAGAGATAATTAAGGGACCAGAGCATCTCTCTCATCAGGAAAGACTGAGAGCCAAAACTCTTAGCCTGGAGAAAAGAAGGCTTGACAGGGATCTTATGAATATATAAATACCTGAAAGGAGGGTGCAAAGAAGACAGTGAGGCTCTCTTCAGTGGTGCCCAGTAACAGGACAAGAGGTAATGGGCACAGATTGAAGCACAGGAGGTTCCCTCTGAACATCAAGAAACACTTTTTCACTGTGAGAGTAACTGAAGACTGTGCACAGGTTGCCCCTAAAGGTTGTGGAGTCTGCAATCTTGGAGATATTCCAAAGCTGTCTGGACACAGTCCTAGGCAACTGGCTCTAGGTAGCCCTGTTTGAGCAATCGGGGTGGACTAGATGACCTCCAGAGGTCCCTTCCGACCTCAGCAACTTTGTGATCCTACAGAATTCACTCCTGATATCCTAACCAGAAAATAAGCATTAGAGCTGCTACTGACATCAATGAGGACTTCCAATAAACTGCTCTAAATGCCTTGACAAAGCTTCCTTCGCTGGACTGAGAGAAACAACACATTCAATGAGTCAAATAATATTCAGTGAAATGCTCATCCTTAGGTAGCTCTGCTGAATTTCACTAAATATAGTTTGCATCTCTAGAACAATTTCATTGGCTGAATACACTCATTCTATCATCTAATGGGATGTGAAGATTTTCCTCCAACTTGCATTGTACACAGAGCAATGTTAAGCCCACTTTAATTTCCTGCTGGAAAGCAGCACAAGCTTAACTTGATTTTCAAGAGTCAATTAAAAGGTTTTTCTCCTGTTATGATCTATCCTGTTAACTCCCAATTAGAGATTTTTTCAGAACAGAGTGAAAAATATTTCCAACTGTAGTTTTTGAAACAATAAGTATAAAGCTTTTCTTCTAACTGGAGAGCTTACCTATTTCTTGGCCCTCAAAGAATGTAATGAAAAATACTCCTTGCCCAAAGGCAGTTGTAGACAGAAGACACTAAAACACCAGAGGAGAAACAAAATGTCATCATCAAATAAAGCAGGTTCTTAAGAAGTTCCATGAAATAAAATAACTTGTGATATTAAAAGCAAGCATAAAATAGACTTTTGTTTCATGTAGGCTAATGGTCATTACTTCCTTTTATGTTTTAATACTCCCACGCATACTGCAGTACTATTTGTTCCACCTCAAAGAGTTTCACTGACCTAGTTATTAATATTGGAAAACATTAGCATTACTTAACTTTATAACAAGTTAGAGACCATCATAAATCTGCCACATACTGAAAACATATAATGTATAACACTGTAAAAGCATGCAAAGGAATACACTTTCTGTAGTAAGAGCAGTGGTCCTATACATTTTTGTAAGACCAGAACTCAAGAAGAGACACAGGTAGAAGGAACTCTCACACCGGATACTATGCACTGAGAAAGCATTTTTGTTCTAGCAAATAACATTTGATTTATACGAAGCAACATAGTCATGTTGCATCACAAAAGTACAAAATTAGCAAGTTAGTGATGTAGTATACAAAAGGAAGTGTGACTGATGATCAATGGAAAAACACTGATGAGCTTATGAACACTGATGGGGAGATCCAAAACATTACTAAAATTAATAAGCATTACTCAGTGATAAAGTTCTGCAGTTTGAAAATGAGCTGAAATAAAAGTTCATTTTATCTCCTGTTTTAAAGAAATGCAGTTAAATAAGGTTTCTGTAATTTTTGACACAAAAGAAACACATTCTGCCAGCTGTCTGAAGAAAGAAGTATGACATAGGCTGCTACTTAGGAAAACATCCAGACTCATTAGTGGTATGGATTACATTTTTGTACAGAAGTTCATGCTATTCCCATCAGCTGAGTCCTTGCCTCTTATATTGCTAGGGTTTCACCATCCCAATTGATGGCCTCTCCCCTCTCTTCAAAAATTATTGTTTTTTTCACATGGTGCTGCCCCTGATTTTCAGCAAATGCAGGATATCTGAAGAGTTATTTTGAAATAACTGATTTCAAAGTGTGCAACTTATCTGATGCACACTTTTTCCTCTCTGTGGCCCAAAGGAGGGAAAAAAAGCAACAGAAAAAAACACCCAAAAAATTCCACCCTGCCTATTTATGCTTGAATTATGTAGTCTGTGCTTACTTGTATGCAAAGAAACAATATATTTTATCTGACCTATTGACACTGAAAAAGTGTCAATTTTTTTAATAGTGTATGAATTATTCCACCAGATTAATTTGGTATGCAAGTTATTTTGAAAGAGTGAAACTATAATGTGTGAAATATGGTTTGCATTATATGATGGTGATATTTCATGTCCCAATCAGGCATATAATCATGCTATAGCATGTTAAGACAGTTCAAAGATGTAAAAAGGCCTATGGCATACATAAAACAGAAAAGGACATTGAAGAAGCAATGCCAAAGAACCATGTACCTCTGACTGTATAACTAGATAAGCTCTAGACAAATTTCTGATTAAATCCCCAATTGTACTCAACAGAGAATCAATCATTAATTTTCCTGCAAACAAATAATCATAGAATCATAGAAGGGTTTGGGTTGGAAGGGACTTTCAAGATCATCCAGTTCCAACCACTGGGGGACACCTCCCACTAGCCCAGGTTTCTCAAAGCCTCATCCAGCCTGGCCTTGAACACCTCCAGGGATGGGGCATCCACAACTTCTCTGGGCAACCCATGCCAGTGCCTCACCACCCTCACAGTAAAAAATTTCTTCCTAATGTTTAAACTAAATCTACCTTCTCTCAGCTGAAAACCCTTACCCTTCATCCTATCACTACACTCCCTGATAAAGAGTGCCTCCCCATATCTCCTGTAGGCCCCCTTGAAGTACTGGAAGGCCACTATAAGGTCTCCCCAGAGCCTTGTCTTCCCCAGGCTGAACAACTCCAACTCTCTCAGCCTGTCCTTGTACGGGAGGTGCTCCAGCCCTCTGACCATCCTCATGGCCCTCCTCTGGACCCGCTCTAATAGGTCCGTGTCTTTCCTGTGCTGAGGACTCCAGAGCTAAATGCAGTACTCCAGGTGGGGTCTCATAAGAGCAGAGTAGAGGGGGGAAATCACCTCCTTCAGCTTGCTGGTCACGCTTCTTTTGATGCAGCCCAGGATATGGTTGGCTTTCTGGGCTGCAAGAGCACATTGCTGGGTTGTTAAGCTTTTCATCAACCAGCACTCCCAAGTCCTTCTCCTCAAGGTTGCTCTCAATCCATTCTCCACCCAGCCTGTATTTGTGCTTAAGGTAGCCTCAACCCCCATGCAGGACCTTGTGCTTGGCCTTGTTGAACTTCATGAGGCTTGCACAGGCCCACCTCTGAAGCTTATCAAGGGCCCTTCTGGATGGCATCCCTTCCCTTCAACATGTTGACCACACCACACAGCTTGGTGTCTGACTTTCAGCAGTGGCATATCATCAGGTGTGCTTGAAAGTACACTAACATTACAAATATTTTGAGGCTAAAACATGAGAAGTCATGAGCATGAAGAAGGCAACTTCCTTATATTTTCTGTAGGTTTACAAAATTTCCCTGAAAATTTATTTTTTATTTCTTTCTACATTCAAAACATTTTCTCAATCGCATATGTATTGGTGTGACTTATTTCCAGTGAAACACAAAAGCAAACAGAAACCTTGTGAAAAAAAAAAAAGTAAATTAAAGTCTAAAATCGCAAAACTATGGAAATTCACAGCATTGTTGGAGGAGAAAAATTAGAAAATGAAAATAAATATTTACCATCATAATCTGGTTGGTGAAACTCAACTGGTTCTGTAAGACCAACAAAACTATGTAGGGTAAAAAACTGATCATATACACAAGGCTGGCACACAGAGCTGCTGTACTGGCACTTCTGAAAAATGCTCCCAAGAAATAGCTTAACATAATAACTGTAACTCCAAAATCCAGAAGAAAAAGGAAGATGAGGAAGCCATTGCTATAAGCAAAGATACCACTTGCTTTTAAAATGACGGACAGAGCACAGCTGCTTATTGTGAGCACAATTACATTCTCCACAAACCAAGCAAAGAAATGAATGGCTGGATGTACACCCATTGTCTTCATATACTGCAAGACAATACAGCAGAGAGTTAAAGTTAGGAAACAAATTTTCTTCTTCTCCTCTTTTTTTTTTTTTTTTTGGTAAGCGAAACATGTTGCCACCAAGACACGACCAGCTCCACGAAGGATGTCATCATCCCCTTAAATTACTAATTTCTTTTCTCTTTTCCTGTGCTACCCCTTCTGCTGATTTCTCCTGGACCAAACACTGTTCTGAGCAGGGCTGCCTCTGAACTTCTCACCTACTAACATGAGAAATCTAAATGCTCAGGCACAACTCTCTCTTTCATAGGGTTGCAGGACCAGATACCAGATTACTGGGTTCTCCAGTGAGGACTTTGTCTTTTTAAACTCTAAAAAGTGCTGAGGATATCTATAGCACTGTATAAACAAATGTTTCTTCCAGCTTGTTGCTGAACTAAATGTAGCACATGGGTATGTCTGTAAACCTTTATGTATTAGCACACAAATAATGATTTAGCCAGGTATGAGGTATAACTCCTGGTTTTGGGGGCTTTTTTTTAATGCTTTGGAAACAAGCTGATACTACTTCTGAAATGTTTTTCATAAGATGATCAAAATTAACTTTACTAAGTTGATTTAATATTTTAAAGCATTAAAAAAGACCTATCTTACACCCAAAAGTTTAGAGAAATCAGATAATTTCCCAAATTAAAAAAAAAAAAACAAAAAAAACAAAAAAAACAAACTTACTCCAGCAGCATAAAGACCAGTACAATTCTTAAAAAAAAGTATATTTATCCATACAGGAAATATATCATAAACCCCCCCCCGCCCCGTCCTTCCATAACAACTGCTAAGACTAGCTGTTGATATAAACAAATAATTGTCTCATTTTTGGGGGGGTCATCTTCTCTTATATTTCTGATAATTACACAGTACATGGCAAATTTTTTATTTAGTTTAGGAAGTTTTATCATTTTAGACTGCATACAGCAAAACATGATAAAGAATTCAAAATAAATAACGTTCTAACCACAAGGACTTTTTCCAAACAACAGTTTCCAGCTTCAGCTTCCATGGATCTTTTGCTTGTAGCTTTTTGTATCAGGGAAAATATTTGCATAGTAAGAGGACTGATGCTCAAACAATGTCAATCTGTGTTGGCAGCTAGAATGAGAATCTACTGCCCAGAGGAAACAAGTGAAAACAAATCCAGCTGGACTATGAGTACGTAAAAGTACCTCAAAGATTGAGTTTTATATTTCAGTGCACTTTAATAAATAGGTTTTATTTTCAGAGGCTAATCTGCCTCTTACCTCTTCAAGATGAATTTCTCTTTCATAAACCAGCTTGCGAACCATGCCAGCAACGGAAACCATCCATGTTAACATCATCATAAGTGGGAAAAAAAACCCTAAGTTGTTCAAGAAACTACGAAAGAACATACATGCAGAGTTGTTAGCCACCATAGGTAATATATTTTTTAGCAGAATGTTAATAGGTTAATACTGGGATTATTCTCAAAGTATGCACAAAATACGATCTGACATCAGCAATAAGACTTATTCTTGCTCTGCTTACAATTGCTTATTTTTCATGTAACAAGCTAAATACATGTATTGGTGCTGTAATATTATATCAGTATATGTCAACAGTACAACTGATGTAATCACTCTTCAGGGCTCCATTCAAAGTCAAGCTGAATTCAATGTCTATGACAAAGTAATATTTGGACAGTAAGGCATAACATGAGCCAGTTACATTTTCCTCCACTTTAACACATTAATTATCACTGACTAATTTTAAATTCTAATACTCAGTGGTAAAAATATTGTTAGTCTAATAGTCTAAATGCTTTAATGGTTTTACAAATAAAAATCCTACTCTTCTTCTTTTGCTTCATCAACTTCACACTGTATTTCAACACATACCAGAGACCAATTTACAGTTTGTGTACAGGACAATTAAGGATGGAAAGTGGGTTTCTTAGCATAATCTAAGTTAGTTGCACAATATGTTGACATAGTCTCTGTGCAGCAGACTATAGCTACAAACAGCTAGTAAGGAGTCATTTGCCAGACAGAAGACGCATATTATGTTGTGGTCACAGCTGTTAAACAATGTTTACTATGCTGTAATATTCTGGTATTGGACACCAGTCCTGTGCTGAGACATACATTCACCAGCTACAAAGACCTAGTAGCTTCCCAAGTTCTCTAGCACTAATCTAATGAGGATTATATATTGAGTTAAAAAGCTGAAAGTTTACTTACAGATCACTGGTATGACAAGGGTAGGGCATGGCTTGCACCTGGATGGCTGGCAGTGAGGTATCTGTCCCAGTCTGTGCTGAAATAATTGCCCTTTCAATCATGTCTTGAAGAGGAATAAAGATGTGGTTGTATTTAAACCCACCAGCTGGCAACTTCTGGGGATGGGATTTCCATGCTGGGTTTTTGGTCAAATCCGTTCTCATGCTATAGAGAACACTGGTTCTAATTGTATACGAAATGTGTCTTGGAAGGCGATTGCTAGAATCTTGTGTCTTGTTCTTTGGTGTATCAAAGATGATACCTGACACAGGAAGAAAAGGAGCTTTATACCCAAGCTTATATGATTTATGCTACTTGCATAGCTAACTCACAGCCAATAATCATACAATAGTAGGATACACTCACCTGTCAGGGCAGACCTCTGAAGTTTCTTGACTCCCCAGCACACGAACGGTAGGTTTCATAGAGACTTATATTTTTTAAATTCATAAATGTGAAATGTAAAAAATTATTCACATGATAAACGGGTTTGCAACAATCATTTTTATCTGAGAAAATTCCTTCTATGATTTCTTTTTCTGAATTGTGGTTTATTCTCTTTGTATCCAGATTTAACCCCTTTCTGGGGACAGATCTCAATTCCACAGTGAAAGCTGTGGCCATAAAATTTGCCCAAAGGATAACAATCCCTGGAAGTGGATGACAAAGTAAACAGTGCCAACCCACTAAAATTTACTCTGATTTTTAATTTCTGAGTCAATTACAAAATCTGTTTTAGCACAGCAGAATTTGCATGTTTGTTTTCTCTAGCTCTGTATTAAAAAAAAAAAAAATAAAGAAAAAAGCAGATGAAAGCTTAATCTGTAGCTGGAAAGATGAGGTCAAATACAGCAAATTGGTTGTATTTTCTTTCTGGATGACCTAGACTTTTTAGGACTTCTTGATGAATGTGAAATGTTGACCTTTTTCCCTTAGGAAAGGGGAGAGATATCTTACCTACTGCCTGGATCTCTGAAGGACAATATTATATAGAATACTTTACTCTGCTGTAAAGCTTATTTTTTCAACTGGCCAATCTCATTTTCCCATTTATACAAACATTTAATTTCCTAAGACATTTTATGATGATACGAAGTCTTTGAAGACTACAGACAAAGAAAGGAAGGAAAATTCCACTTTAGTTTAATATCTTACTATGGCAAGCAATGCATGTCTATATCTGAGCATGTAATATTAATGTGTTGGACACATCAGGTCCCTTAAAATGTCATCTTTCCTCTTTAAACATGTGAACAGATTATAAAGCCACAGTACTAAAAAAACTCCTAAGAAATATCTTGGCTTGTGTTAGCATATGACCCTTCCCTGTGTAAGTGGAAGCAAAATGCATCTAGAACTTGACAATTCAATTTTCTGCAGGCCAAGATCTATCCGAATGTTTCTTCCCTTGAAGGGGCAAACAATTTCACTCCCTATGAAGAACTACTGAGAAATTTTCCTTATCTCATGGTATGGACTGTTGGTTTTATACTGATGGAGGGTCATAATTTCCACATTCTGCAAATGGGGGTACTGTGCAGGTTACAGAACTAACACAGGCTTCCAGATGGAGCAGTTTCATTCTCTAGAACTGCTTTGACACATCTTCTGTTGCATGCTTACAGGAGTCCAGGTAGACAATAAAAACAAAAGCAACAGGTGAAGAAAAATGTGTCACAATTTATATACACTTAAATGGGGCTGTCTTTTGGGAAGGCTAAGAAAAACATTCTTGTCTTTGAAACTCTTTTGTACAATTAATTGATTCTCAGCAATAAGGACATAATCCAGGAAAAGGATGGAGAGTGCAATCCCAGGGAAGTACAGAAATATATCCATTGCTTAAGAATTTATATACTCTGAATCAACAATTTAATTTCTCTGAGGTGTTGGTTTAGGAATAAAACTTTTTTAAAAATCCTCCTTTCTTTCCTCCTTTTTGCAAAGCCAAGGATATAAAAATTAAAATTTGGAAGGATGTAAACTAGATCATCTTGTCATAATAGTACTCAAGTTTCCTCAGTACTCCACATTTTTTCAGCTCTTTTTATTCTACTTTAAACATTTATGACTATTCTTTTATGTATTTTATTGGAAATAACAGACTCCAAGGATTCATTCAGCAGTTCCACAATTAAAACAACAATATAATTAGTCTTTAAAGCACATATTACAGCATTCAAGTGTCAGGGAATACCTCTAAGGTAAATGTGCTTTCTTTTGCCTGTATTATATATGTTTTAATACATGCTTTGAAACTGTGTAAGCTTAACCTACCTTATCAATAAACACAGACAACAACTACAAAGTCTGATGTTTTCTATCACTGTGGATTTTAAATAAGATACTTACTAGCCAAAAAATTATTTTGCTGCATGAGTTCATGAGCCTTCTCCTCCAATTTCTCAACAGAATCAAAAGGCTGGAAACGGTCCAGTAACACACAGGAAGAGATATTTACTACAAGCTCTGACAACAGGTCAATCTGTTTACTTGCTGAGCTGTTAAACATCTTGTTCATCATAATTTCTAAGAGGAAACAAATTGGACTTCCTTAGTTTTTATGAACAGAGAAGAAAGGTATGTTCTCATTTGCACATCCTATAACAGTAAATACCCCTTGTATTTTAACAAAAAAGGAAGAAGTTTTAAAAATATAAGAATTGATAGTGTGAACTTGTGGAACTATAGTTCGTGCTTGGGTGGCTTTTACACATCCTCAGCTATGTTTTCCTTCAATTTCAGAGCAACAAAAATGTAACAAAAAATGTAAAAAACCGTAACAAATTCTACCAAAGTTCTGGAAAGAGACCATGTCCTTGAAGGTGTAGGGCTTTTAACATTTCCTTATCCTTCCATAGCTGCATAAAAGCAAGTTACTGTACTTCGAACATCACAACAGAGATCCATCGATTTAATCTAGTATTGTATCTGCCAGTTCTTCTCTACCTTAACACTGCAAATATTTCAAGCACCTTGTTATACAGAGCATAAGCATTTTGACTCAAGCCCTACATTTAAAAAGCATCTGAAAAAAGCCTACAAGCCCTCCATTTTGATTTTCATCTTATCTATGAATCCAGGATGAATGTATACCTCAGCCAAAGGCTGGTTTCTAAACACACTGAACCTTTGGAAGAATTCAGATCTTCATGCATTGATACAGAATGTAGAGATAGTCCTTATGTTTGGGAGAATAACCAGAAGGATAGCATGATCTCGAAACAACCCTAACTCATCTGGATTTATTGGAAACATGAATTTCTCAGGCAATAAACAATGTTATAAAACTTATAATGCAAGTTTTAATCTTAAATTTTTCAAGACTAACCTGAAGATATAGGCTTTAAAAAGGATAGATGACGACCTCATTTGATAACAGTGGTGACAGACAAACCCTGGACCACAGATTTTTTTCAGCGTCAGCATAGGAAATATTACAACAGGGATACAGATAAGTGGAAAAAAGTACAGAGTAGTCTGAAGAGGAGATATGATTACCAGTGAGAATGAGTAAAGATCACAAAGAGAAAAAGTAGAGGAACTGATAGTCTAGAACTCAGAAGAATTGCTCAGGCAAGCAATGACAGGGTGAATTAACGGGTTGAGAGAAAACAGTGCTAAACATAGATGCTATATGTCTTATTTACTGCTATCCTTGAAGAGTACAACAAATAAAATATCTATGCTGCTACTTGCTTCAGAGCATTAGAGAGAACAGAATATTCCTAACACTAAGCCCAAATAGTAGGGTTATACTGTCATATGTATTTTTTAATATACAAATATTTTTTATATATGTGTGTAAGTATATAGAGCCCTATATGTATATACACACACACACACAAAACAAAAAGCAGCAGAGATCTCTTCACTAGCCAATCTCTGAAAGACCATAATTTGAAATCAATAATTAACTAAAAAAACTTCACATGAATTAAGCTACTGAATATTTTAGCATAAGAAATATCAACTGCCTTGCTGTATGCTTGGAGTATGGCATACTTATGTGTTTCTGGAAGCAAAATATTGTCTTTCACAATGTGCAGGAGCTTCTGTACTCTAGCGTAGAAATAACACATATACATGAACAGATACAATCCACAGGAAAGTTTTAGAATTAAGTCCTGCAGAATTACGTATCTCATATTTGTCCCATTTATAAATGCAGCAATTATTAATAAAAAATTTGGCAAATCTGTTTTCACTGTCTTCACATTTTTTTACATAGCAACTCAGCCCCCATCTTCCACTTATCTTGTTTAGCCTATCATTAAGTAACTGGGAGGAAATATAACTGTTTTAAGTAGATCTGCTAGGTAGAAGTGCTATTTAAGCAAAAGGTTGCAAGAATAAATTGTAATAAACTAGCAATGAATGAATCTAGGTCAGAAATTAGGAGAAAGTTTCTATTTATCAGGTGATTTTGGTGGTGGCACAGTTTTCAGTGATTATGATAGAGCTATTTGTTTCCAGCTTTCTATACACACATAAAACTTTTTTATTACAAAGAGGGCAGCAGAGGGAAGCTGCCTGGTTTTTTTACCCTCGCTGTTACATCCCAAACTACATGTAGACCTCTGTAAGGGAGATTCCTTGGTAGTGAAAATACACATCTGGGAGAAATCACAGAAGGAGAAGAGGGACACTCAGTGAGCAAGAACCTAAAGAAGAGCCTGAAGCACAACTGCCTCCCAGTGCCTCTTGATAGGCTTGTAAGGACTGCGCCCAGCAAGGAGCTCGCAAGATCTATCAGGACAGGGTTTATATAAAATCAGTTACACGCAGGAAATTATTGCAAATTACTGGGACAGAAAGCAAGCACAGAGGAACACAGTTGCCTTGCCCACACAAAGCTAGTTTAGAAAGTAAAGAAGAGTTTAAAAAGAAAACCACAAACTTTTCTGCCCTCTGTTAAATATTTCCATTGTTCCAGGTGAGTAAAACTGACACAGTAACCCTATCAAACAGTTTTAGAAGTTGATAACTTTGCAAGGTCTTATAGCATACTAATCTTATAGAGAGGTTGAAAGAGTTCTACATCAATTCACTCTGTGTCCACAACACTTTCCAGCAGGAGTAGCAGGGTGAATAACAAATCACTAAGACTTTTAACCATTTTTATAGCACCATAGAGAAGTAAAAAAAGATACAAACACAAGCACCTTGGATTTGAGCATAATTAGAAGTCAGCTTCAAGTGAGTATAGAAGCAATAAACCAAGGGAATATTTGCTTTAGTTAGAAGACATAATACATAATCACACAGATAGGTGATTTTAGAAAACTTGAGCTTTGGATGGAAATAGACAGATTGTGAGTGGTAAAAGCAATAACATATATGGATATATTTAAGACTTTAAATGGATCCAAACAACATAATTACAGGACTAAAAAGCTGCTGCAGTACAAGAGTAATGAAATTAAAAACAAAACAAAACAAACAAAAAAAAAAGAACACAGGTTTACAGTAACAGCCACATATTATTATAGACTAAAAAAAAAAATTAACAAAAAAGCATATACAAAACCAACATAACAATAAGAGGGCATAGTCGTTTTTCAAAAAGAAAATTGACAAAGCCAATCTGTAAAAAGAAGTATAAACAAAGTGTAAATGCAGAGTAGCACTCTGGTGCTTTGGACAGATCAGCAAAGGCATAAATAATGTTGTGAGCTATAGCCCATATTGATGTTCACTTCTTATATAATGTTAATTTTATCACTGTATTCCTTTAAAATAAAGAAATTCTAGTTTCATAAGCCATTCTATTTAATTTTTTTCCTGTATTCACCATCCAAGACTATTAACCATTTATCACATATTGTCAAATGTTCTTAGCTCTGTTAAAAAAGCTATAGCTTGAGAAACACATGCACAGATTTCTGTGGTGATGTTGTCTGCAACAGTGAAGATGGACCTGATAACTCCAGAGATCTTCGTATCCACGTAATGAAATATTGTATGCCCATAACCTATCATCTAGTTCCCAATGTTAGGTCCAAACAAACAAAATCCATCTATTACTCAACTAGTATACTGAGATAGCTACATTTCGAGCAAGCCTTGAAGGTTAAGAGACTTGCTATTTCCTCCCTCCTGTCTTTCTGATTGTGTGATTCTGTTGGGGTTTTTTAAGTTGCATTGTGATCCAGCTTCACCATCAGGGGTGAGCTGTGCCTGACCCAGACTAGGCAACAGTTCAGTGGTTAAGAAAATCTTCCTGAAACATAGCGGATTCAAGTTTGAGTCCCTCACTTGAGGAGGACGCTGAGCCCAAATTCTTCCTTTCTTGATTGAATTCTGGACATCATCTGCCACTTTTCTTAGTGAAAGTGTGCACAGCTAGTCCTAGCCCTCAAACACAGCCTTCAAATCGAGGACAGTTTCAATTAAATCTCCCATCCTGTGTGCAAAAGAAAAGCCAAGAACCAGAAGAAAAGCTCACACCAACCATGACAGCACCAGCTGAGGGCAGTGGTACAATTTAAGACTGAGAACACACTTCATCATTTCCAAGCTCTCAGGAGCTTTGATAGATTTTGTCCATCTCCTGCTTAGAGGCAGGTACTGAAATCCAGTAAAATATGCACCTCAGGTACATTTATTTCTTAAATTGACTGTAAAGCAGACTTAATAACCTATATTGCTGTAAAGTCCATTTTTTTCCAGCAATGAGGGCCACACAGCCCCTTTATGGGTGCATCTGAGAGCTCATCACTGCCCTCCTCCAACAAATGACTGGAAGAGACTGTGTCTGGCTCATAATTGTCCTTACACTCACCGATAACAAACTAGATAAATCTGTCATCTCCAGCACTATCCTTCTCCAGGAAGCATCCATCTCCCTTTGTACATGATGTCACACTATTTGTTATTGCATTTTATCCCACTTTTCTGTCTTTCTGGTCTTCAAAATCATGAAATCATGAACTTTTCTTGAATGACATTAGACTGATTTGGTATGGACAGTTCTTTGTGGCACACGTCAGCAACCATTTTAATTATTATACACCTACCCTACTGACAGTGGGATATATTAATTTTTTTTCAGTTATCAAATACTTATAAACTCTTTAAGTAACTTAAATTTCCAGCATAATCCTTTATCTTTGTCTCCTTAAATCCCTGTTTACAGAAAATTAGTCATAATAATCCCCATCTCCTCTATTATAAATTCCTCCCCTTGGGATATCTATCTGGCCCTGGAGGGCATACTCTATAATCCTGGAAGTCTGGCTGCCAGGGCTCAGTACCACTGCAGAAAGGGGGCAGCTAAGGATGTCTGGGACCCAGGGGGACACTGCTGGGGCAGCCCCATGCAGATGCCTGAGCTAGGGCCACTGCTTTCCCATCAGAGCTGCACAGAGCTGTGGCTGAGCCTGACCCAGGCTGCAGCTCCCACCACATGACAGCCTGGCTGCAGAGCTGGCCATGGACCTGCTGATCTGGGTCCAGACCCCTACCCACAGGGTGACATCCTGCCCTGGCCTCAACGTCACCCCCTTGGCCCTGCCTGGCCATATCAGGGCTGGGTCTGACACTGGGTACTTCCTACTGACCTGAGTCCAACCTTGCTGCTCCCTGATTATAACCATATCTCAGGCTTTTCTGAGGCTCAAGGAGACCACACACAACTAATTATCAATAAAAAGAAAAAAAAATGCAGACAGGTTTTGATTAAACACACTGTATCCAATCTCATTTTCTATTTATTTCAATTTAAAGTATATAAATTTCCTTCAAAACCTACTACAAAAATTTACTACTACTACCTAATGGAACTGTGGCTACTGGGATTACTTCTCCCGTCTCTTTTTTTAAGTATAGCTCCTATGTTTATAACTCTCCCCTGACAATTTGTCGCTTCTCGTTTGTTACCAGATTTTTCAAGTCTTTCAACATTTTGAAATGCAAATTGTTCAGTCACTCAGAAGAAAAAAGAAAATTAGAAATATTTGAGATTAATTCAACAAGAGAATTTAAAGTCTGGTACTTTAGTGTCATTTAAGTAGGTAAAACATTCAATTTCAGATGAAAATAGTTCTAAGTTCAAGTTCAAGACTAAGAAGGGTAATCAGTACATGCACTTTTACATACATACCATATACTTGCATTTTTTTGAAGAGTTTCTCCATGTCAATATCCAAATTACTTTCTATAAAGTGTTTTATGAAATTGCTTTTCAGTGCTTCCTAAAATGAAAAGTGTTAGATGTTACATCAGGTTTATCTTCTCTAAAGAAATATAAAATATACATATGCATTCATGTTCAATTCCAAGATTTCCTGCATAACACTGGAGAAGTCAATTAGCCTCTCCATGTCTTCATTCTTCCCCTCTTAACGGGTTACCTCCACACATTTCAAATAAACAGCAGAACACATACTCCCCATTGCTGTACACCACTGTCCTCCTTTACTGAAAATATTTTAACTGGGATTCTATTCTAACGTCCTTGCAAAGTCTGCTGGGACAGCAAACCATCTTCTTTTACTGCAAGACTTATGGGCCATTATATTATTAGCACTGGCAGTAGTAAAACAAATATCTTTAAAAACCTGGCATTTTGGAATTCCTTTTACATTATTTTAACATCTTTACCTCATTTGTCATGGGGGAAAAAAATTATTAGCTCTATAAGAGCATCTTGGGACCTGCAAGTCCAATGCACCATCATTTCTTAACTGAACTTAAAAGTAACAGTTCAATTGATAGGTATGGGCCATGACAGGATTCTGATTATTTTCCCAAAATGTAACAGCCATGCATGTTTTCACAAGTCAAACATGGCAAAACTAAATTTAATTGGGGAAAAAAAAAAAGACACAAATATGTAGAATAGTATAAATCCCAGTAAAGACAACGCTTTTTTTTTTTTTCTAATAATTCCCACATCAGTTTTTTTTGTCAGTGGCACACCTTGGTGGAAAGAGAAAGTGACAAACAAGCATGTTTCAGAAAACACTTTATTTCCTACAAACTTACACTTGTTTTAAACAAGTTTATAGAGGTGTACCTACTTATTTCCCCATTGCCTGGTAACACTGACATAGTGATGTAACATCACTTTGAAGTATTTTCACCTCAGAAGTTTCTCAGCATCACATTTGTAGGCTCATAACCTAAAACTAATCGGCCTCTTTTTCAGCTCTTTTTAAATGTGAAGCCAGGTAGACAGGGAATCTTACATATATAGAAATTTTGTGCCCTCCCACAGTTCACCAACCTGCAGTTGTGAAACGGTGAGGATATTTCCACTGGTTTTAAAAATCTCAGACATCCTAAGCCATGTCTCAGAATAAGTCTTCAAGTTTTCCACAAAACCAAAAGTGAAATTAGCCTGGGAAAAAGAATACATGAAAACAAATGAAGTAAAAACTACATAGCAAATCTTAAGAAACAGGAAAAACTGGTATGCTTCAGATCTTATGCAACTCCTTCTCATTTTACTTTGACAGTCAGCAGTAAGGATATCCATGTTTTCTTTTTTCCACTTAAGAAATGAAAAGCATTTGTTGCAGTCTCTGAATACCAAGCAAAACAAAGAAGTGTCTTCCTGCAGCATGCATGTTTCCTACCAGAAGTACTATAAAGACCTCTTTATGTCTTTTTCATATATAGTGTCATAGAGGTGCTTCAGAAAGACACACACACACAAAAAAAAAGACATATTTAAAATAAAACCTTTGCAGACCTTATCAGTCTCTTATCAGTCTTTTATTCAAACTACTTTTACTGAATACATAATAAAAGTGAAAGTTGGAAGCATGGTCTGGACAATAAATTCAACCAACCAATCAATTAATTTCAAAATACACTGGCAGAGATAGGCTTGAGTATAGCAAAACATTCTCTGTCCCAGTCAAACATAAGCTACCATATTTCTCTCTCAGCCACTAGCAAACAACCATAAATTTTTTCCCAGCATGTTTTAAACAGATCTCAGGTGTACTCAAGATTAGAAAATATTGCAGTATCTTTTTGTTTAAACTGGTGTTATCAGTCACAGAAGTGCATTTAAGAACAATCCAGCATCGTTATTATGGCAGAGATCGTGACATTTCCCAGCAAAGAGCATCTGAAATGAGTTGTAAACTCCAATTTTGGACCACACTTTTTGCAATAATTCCTATTGAAGGCACACAATTTTTGCCATAGTACTGTAAGTGCCTTTTGCAAAATCCCACTCCTAGCACAACATGGGAAGACAATTTGTGGTGGTGCTTTATTCCTGTTTGTAGCACAGAAAGCCCAAAAGAGGCCCTTCCAGATAATTTCATTTTTCTGAAAGAATTTATGTATTCAACTTCTTTGAGATTCCCCATTTTTCGAAGAGAGAGTGATCCTAAATGTTAAACTAAAGTTTGGTGTCAAATCAGCTAAAGTTCTTGTGTTAACAAGCAACACAGAAAGCTCACGGACTGAAATCCCAGGCCTGAATATCAGGGTCATGTAATCCACTGTACAGGCACATTAATCACAACCTGAAGGAGACCAGAAAAGCTGCAAGGGTAGCAAAAAGCCAAAATGGGAGATTGCTATTTCCCCAGTGCAGAGTAAGTACTGGCCACACTGGAACACAAGGAGATCAAATTTTCAGACATCATTACAAATTGTTTTATCAAGCAGCTTAGTCCTTCTTGACTTGATTCTTAACAGAGCAAAAGATATTTTTTTGTTTGTTTGCTAAATTCACTTTCAAAGAGCTACAGTACAGTAACCATAATGTGTTTGTATTGAACCTCCTTATACAAAAAATTAAAAAAAAAAATTACTGTGGCAGCAGGGATTTTTGAAAAAGATGAATTTTTCATAATGTAGGAGCTTATTTGAAAGAAATTAAAAGCAGCAAAGGGGTTAGTTGTGTGTAGGAGGTACAGAGACTATTCAAGGTGGTATAGAGAAAACTGAACAAATACATATTGCCTATCAAAAAAAATATTTGAGAAAGACTTGAGAAAGACCATATGCATGCACACACACACTACACAGCAGGAAGCTATTAGACAATATCCTTTTAAAAACTGAAGTTACATCCAAATAAGAAAAAAAGAAAAACTAGGGAAACAAGGTTTTTGTTAAAATTTTTTTTGCTTTCCCATTTACCACAGTAGGCCTTTGGGAAGTTTCTGTGTTGGAAGCCTTCTACATGGAGAACACTTTAGAGAATCTGTCCTAAATTGAAGCAGCAGTGAAAAAATGGACACACAACTTAACAAAATAAACAATAAGTCATTTCCAGAACAAGATAACATCAAGCCAAAAATTCTAAGAGCATTCAAGGATTAAATAGTTGAAGTACTCACTGTAGTGTAACCGCTGATTAAAATTCCCTTGTTATCATGGAACCAGAAAATAACAAATGCAATGCTATTGATAAAAAAACAAAAAAAAAAAAAAAAAAAAGATGCTAGGGGAAGCAGGGGACTACAGACTAATAATTCTGAAACCTGTACTAAACAAATTTTAATTTTGCAATATTAATAATAATACAATCAATAGTAGAAGTGGAAATAGAGAATAGAGATAAATATAGTTGGGAGATGCAAATACGGGATTTTAAAAAATAAGTTGCCTCAATTGAAGAACAAGCAAGTGAGGAAGACATTGTTGATGCAGAACATCTCACCACAAGCACTAGGAATAGCAAGAGTTTATATAAGCTCAAAAAGAAATTGGACAAATTATAGCACTAAAGTCCCAGCAAGCCTGACCCTTAAGTTTTTGAAAGTTGGGATAGTATTTGGGGGGAATATCACTTTACTGACATGTTCTTCCATTCTTCCCTCTACAGCCTCCACTGATCACAGTTGGAATCAGAACCTAGAGCAAGATGAATGCTTAATCTTACATGGTAACGCAACTTCTGTGGGTTTATATGCTAATGACTAGCTCGACTTTGATGTTTAATAGAAATTCTCTTCAAGTTCTCTTCTTCCTAATCAATGAACATCCATTAAAATAAATATTCTTCGTAAGACCTAGGCTGGATATTGCCTTTGATTAAAATTAGAGTCTTCAATATCAACTACAGTCCTGTCTGGATTGAATATGTCTAAGCCTCTTCCTGATGTAAGAATAAATAAAAATGGTATTTTGAGATTATTGAGCTGTTTTTATAATGACATCTTTTAACAGGCTGACAAGTCAAGTGTGCTTATGCAAAGCTGGACAGTATATGTAAGTTCAGAATAAGAACTTACTGAAGTCATTAGTGATTTTTCTAATTAGACAAAAGGGCATGAAACTGAAATTAATGAATTTGCTTGACTATTGTTCTTTCTTTCATTTCTCAATTTTCTTGCTACATTTTTATATATAGAAATGTATATAATTTTTTTCTGACTGTTCCAATCACAAAGAAATAGCACAAAGTTTTACAAATGTGATTGCCTGAATATAAGACCAACTCTGAGAATCTTCTGAAATAAGAAATACTTTTATAAGATCAGCTCATCTGTGGCAAAAAGTTCAGTTGTGAAAGCAAGGATCAATGACATCACACGTGGTCTTTGAACACCTGAATGACAGTTGTCACCGAACTTTTTTGCTCTGAGTCAGCACTGCAGCCTGTATCTCTGATGGTCACTGTTATTCTGCATATTAGAACAGTTGACCGCCCAGTAGATAAAACCAGCAACCTCACAAATTATCGAAGAATGGTCAATTACATAGTGTTGAAAGAAAACAGTCCACTTGAAAAACTTACAGAATATATCTTAGTATACAAATATCAATGTTGTTTTTAGCTTTAATCCTCTACTTTATTCTTCTAGTAAATAGCTGCCATGTGGTCACAGAGTCTAAAGGAAATTAGAAATTCTGATCCAATTTCAGTGGGAGATTTGGCTGCATAAGGGCTACAGGGTTAGTTTTTAGTAGCTGTGTTCGAGAGACCTGGGACAATACTTTGCATTTAAATTCTGTTTCTGTTCAAGCAATAGCTGATAGGCTTCTGTAATAAAACAAATGAAAAAATTGTTAAAGACACTTTCCTACTAGTTTCATATTTACATATAAACAGATACACATCCATAATTCCTTATTAGATTTACAAGGGTGTGGGTGTATTTACACAGACTCCTGAATAAGCCGATGGAACTTTTGTGAGCCTGAGAATACATAATGAGAATGAGACATTGTGCTACAGGCATCTACCAGAATCTTTGTATTGTTCCAGAGCATTTAAGAAACAAACAAACAAACAAACAAACAGAAAAGAAAACTTAACTCTGAACTGTATTTCTCAGTCTTGGTTTCCCTAAAATATCTAAGACAACGTATGTCAGGAGATTTCTCTTTCTCACAGATGTTTTTAAGAATGTGATTTCAGCATATTAATTGTCAAAATAATGTGTAAATGTCTTAAGTGCATTATTCTAAATGTCATTGTAACACACAATATAATAATGTATTCAAAATAAATAGAAAATTTTATAATTTCTTACACATCTTTATAGAATTTCCTTGTATAAACACCAAGAGCAGCTTCATTTTTTGATGAATAAAAATTTAAAATTAATTATACTTAACTCCAGAGACATGGCCTATTGCCCATATTAAGTTGTTTAACTGCAAAATATGAAATCACCGAAATCTTATTTCTGATTCAGAGCAGAAACTCTAAAGTTACCTGGTATCTGCTATCTAGTATGCGCTTTTTGGTTTAGGTTTTTTTTTACTGTCTTTTTAGAGCATAAGTCAGAATACCACACTGTACTACATTTACACAGAAAAAGTTACCATCACATGTAGAGTTACTATAGTCTTTTTGTGTACCACTTACAAACAGTAATGCTTTTTTTCTAGATTTTAAATTAACCCAAATTACCATTCGTGCAATAAGTAATATGCCAGAGTAAAAATCATATATTTGCAAGATAAATGCAAAATTTGCACAGAACTCTAAATCTGTACTTAAAATAAGTCATCACCCCTCCTCTTACAGAAGCGCCTCAAAGCTAGTAATGAACAAATGTGTCATTGTAGATAATCATGCTCAAGACAGAGCACCTACCATATCAAAATTGCAGAGAATGTAAAGCTGTTGAATAATATCAAGTCATCAGCATCCACACATATGGCAGCTCAGCTACTATTGGTCATTTATTCTAGTGTTAGAAACACAATCAGGAAGGATGCACCATTTTCTTTTTTAAAATGCAGCTCAGTGACTCCCTCAGAACAAGCTTTCATTCCTGGGGCATCCCTTCCCCACAGCTTCCTATGGTGCCGCATTAGAGTTCCCACCATTAGAAAATGATGAAGGTAAAAGCTTGCTTGGAATACATATATCCTACACCTCGATACAGCATGATTCACAAGACACTTCTGCTAATGTGTTCTTTTTAATCTTTCTATACAAGGTTTAAGGGACTTTGAACAAAATTCTGCTTTTCACACTGAAGTGAAACCATTGTAACAAGTAGGATAAAAGTTAAGAGAAATATTAAGCTTAAAGTGGGAACAAGGTGAGAACTCAGGGGGCAAGGGGGATCCAGTTCTCTGAAAGGCAATTATCCAATTTCTTCTACCTATCCTGAAAGAAGTGGACTTTTAAAATGAAGTACAAATACAAAATCAATAGAGAAATAGTGGGTTTTTTTGATACTCACCTTCTCCATCACAAGGTCAATCATGTTGATGTTTGAATTGTACAGGATCTTCCCATGTAATAAAGGCTTCAGGTAAGTCCATAGCAGAGCCCCATTAGAAGACTGCAAAATCTCCTGATAAAGCTTCAAGCAAAACGGAGCTGTAAAAACAAAGACAGACTCACATTTAAGACAGACAACACAGGTAAGGTTGGATTTTGGTTTTTATTTTTTAATTCAAAGAAAAGCTAGAGTCTTAATTTAGGGTCTGCTACAGCATCATGCCAAATACCTTCCAACTTCCACTAAGCAATCACTACAGGTCCCTGAATAGAAATTCTTTAACCACACTCTATGATAGTGTGGAGGATGCAGAACTCTATACATTAGACAAGAAAAAAATAACCAGAATCCAAAGAGCTCCTCACATTTGTGAAAAGCAGCTGGTGAACCCCACCTATCCTAAAAGTTACATTAGTGCATTTTAGAGTGGAAGGACATATGCAAAACCTCTGCCCAGAAAATCAATACTGAAGGAAGAGTCACCTTAAAAAAAAAAACAACTTCATTCCACACTCTCAGTTCTGTGGTTTTCTATTCCTACTTAAGAAGTACGAATACACAATACCTTCCCAAACACAGACTTTTTTATTTGTATACTTTCATAAGAACATACAAAAAGTACAGGGGGAAAAATGACCCAACACTTAACTTCTTGATTTGAAAAATCAATTGACTTTTCCATTCCTTAACCAAAAACCATGTTCCTACATCAGGTGGGGCTGTTAATGTATTAGGGTGTATGTCCTTCAGAACTGGGATCCAAGGAATAGCTTCCAAGATACCCCACTGCACTTGCACTCAAGTAAAGGCAAGGAGTTTCCCGTGAGAAACATGTAGAAACGTATGTTTTATGCCCAGCTCATGTGTTTGAGGGGGGGGGGGGGTTTATTATTTATCTGTGGTGGGTTAACCTTGGCTGGACACCAGGTGCCCACCAAGCCACTCTATCACTCCCCTCCTCAGTCAGACAATGGGGGGAAGAAAATAAGATGGAAAAAACTTGTGGGTCAAGACAAACACAGTTTAGTAAAGCAAAAGCCAAGGCTGCATGCAGAAGCAAAGGAACACAAAAGATTTTATTCTCTACTTCCCATCAGTAGGTGATGTCCGGCCACTTCCCAGGAAGCAGCGCTTCAGTACACGTAGCAGTTGCTCCCGGAGAAAAATGTCATATTAATGTATGCCCCCCTTCTCCTCCTTTCTCTTAGCTTTTATTGCTGACCAGATGTCATATGGTATGCAATATCCCTTTGGTCAGTTTGTGTCAGCTGTCCTGGCTATGTGCCCTCCCGAGACCTTGCTTACTCCCAGCCTTCTGGGGCAGAAATACTGGGGAGACAGCCTTGATGCTGTGTGAGCACTTCTGAACAGTAGTCAAAATACTGGTGTGTTATCAACACCTTTCTAGCTACCAACACAACACACAGCACTATGAGGGCTGCTATGGGGAAAATTAACTCCGTCTCAGCCAGACTCAATACATTATTATGAGTGGATTTAGAAATATCCTATTTCCAGTGCTGTGAGGAAATATTAAACAATGTCATTAACTCCTCAAGGAAGACAAAATATTGTACATAATGGAAAACTGGGACAAAATAATTTGAACTCCTGTCAAAAGTTAAGTGTCAGAGATGTATCATTAAGAACACCCAGTTCTTTGCCCAAATTTTCACTTTTACCACTTTTTTCATAACCATTACTAAACACAATCACTGCTAAATGACAAGAAAGAATTAAGACGTTCCAAGCTGGCCAGTCAGAAACACCAATATGCTAAAGATATGGAAGACTTGCTAACCTGAGTTTGCTGTTATTTTCAGAAAGTCATTGGCAAGCGTCTGGTACACAAAATAAACACAAATTAATCACTGTGAAGAAGTACAAATCAAGTTTCTGTGCCCTCAGAATTATTTTTTTCTAATTTTCATTTTCCATTGCCTCATTTACCAGTTTGTAAAATATGGGAAACAGTATTGATTCACTCATAGGAATTCTGGAACTGATGCTTTAAAGATATTTCAAGGTCCAGAGTTGTGACAATATTTAAATTAAAAAAAAAAAAATCACCAAGATAGTGCTTCTGGCCTAAACAGCTTTGAAAGAGACTAAGACCCAAACAATCTCTAATCAGCCATTCTTCTAACTCCATGCTTCAAATAGGAAAGAAAAGCAGAGCTGCCTGCTTACCACTATCCCACACACAAGTGAAGAAAGGCTAGGACAGAGCTCAGTCACCCTCCCAGGGGTCCCAGCCAAGCCAGAGTCAGTTTCTGTCTGTAGAAACTGATAGTCAACAGAGTCATGATCCACAGTCACAGATCCTTCCCTAGTGACACTCCGTCACTGTATTCTTCTCTTGCCAGGGCCACTGAGGCACTAACGAGGTTATTAATAATATTAAAATTAGTCACAGTAAGTCAAATGTATATTGAGGAAAGGGAGCAAAGATGAAATCATATGAGAGCTAAGAGATTTTCTGGGCACTTGATAAGGAGAATATCAACTACTAAAAAAAATTTTATCCAGAGGGCTTGCATATTTTACTGCACAATAATACCACAGCTTTGTGTTCACAGAAGAAAGGCATGCAGCAATAAATTCTCAATCTTGTACCTCAAAGACATATTTTTAATACCAAATGTTTTAAAATTCTTATAAATACGTCACTAAGACAGGACTATTATTGTTTATTATTTGCAAAGACAGAAAACAACCAGCATCACTTGTGTCTCATCCACAATTATCTCACAGACATAAAAATTTTATTGATCAACCCTTGTGCTCAGGATTCCAATGTCAACTGGGAAGTCAGCTGGTATATAAACACTTGCATTTAAGAGGGAAAAACTTCTCTAAACTTTGAATGCATGCATGCAACCCGTGATTAATATTTTTTTCTTACTTGAGTCTTCAGGAACGCCATATTTTGCCATATTGTCCTCCAAGTGTCCCGTTATTCTGGGTATGTCAATGAACATGTTTGCACTGTTGAAAAATGAAGATTCTTCTTTACACACTGCCTTGATTACAGACTCCAGAGATCCAACAGCTGAACTTCTGAACTGCCCGCCTTGCAAGAACTAGAACAAACAAACAGAAATGCAAAAGAATCAAAGATGCTTTTAGTAGCTCCAGGGAGTAGCCCTGATGTTCTCTCAACATCGGCACCTAAGGAAATTGACAAAATCAGACTGTTGAAACTGCCTGCAAGAGTGATGGCCTGCTGTGCTCTTTTGTGTGCTCCCGGTCACCTTTATCCTAGGAGGAAAAAAATGTAATGCAGTTTTATTTGCCAGGATATTTGATGAAAGACAGTAGTATAATGTACTACATTACATTTTGAAAAATACTGTGTATCGGTTACGCAGAAAATGAACGAAAATATCAGGACAACTGGACTACAGACTCTTGATTACAGTGTTAGTTTTTACAGAGTCTGCTTTTCTGGTAGATTACTCCTGTGTCGCCAAGACAGAAAAAAGCAAAACAATTCTGCATATGAATGCTTGCAGTGAAAACTGTTGCTATTATAAAAAAAAAAAAAATCAAATGCAGATGCCCTAAAATTCCATCTTTCAGGTACATCTTTTAACTTGTTAGCTGAGCTTCTAGTTTTTGCACATCTTGACTCATGCCAGCATTTATTATTGCCATTTGCTCATGACTAGCATATGCCTAATGAGGAGAGCAATCTGACCGCTTTTATGGGTTAAGCAGCGTCATTCACCACATTAACAAAAAAAAACAAACAAAAAAAAAAAACTAAACAAAAACAAACAAAAAAAACCCTAGCCTCCTCTATGCAGCTTTGTATTTCAAATAACATGTTCAGCTAACTGGTATCTCATGGAAGACCATACAGGTGCACAGTTCTAAGAGAGGATATAACTGCAAAGCAATGTGCCGCTAGTGTATAACTGAAGGATGCCTTGGCCCACCGGATACTCTTAACTGTTGCAAACACTTTTCAAGAAAAACATAACTAGACTATCATTTGAAGACTACACAACTGGAAAATAGAAAAGACTGTGATATGTCAACCAAATACATTTGGCACTGAAATAAATTAGCATTTTATCATCTGAAATTTTTTTTTTAACAGAAGAGTCAATTTTCAAAGTAGTACAGGACTTTACATAAAGAATAAATCACAGACAGTTTAGAGACTGTGCTGTTAGAAACAGTTTATTCTGATCAATGCATTTACTGAAGTGCCAGGTGCTTCTTTAGTAATCCCAGAGGAATATTAGAAGTGTTATTTCAAATTCAGTGTTGGCTGCTCCCAAAATCTGACTTTTTGCATACAGTTTTAGCATACAGCACAGTAAATAAATAAAATCCAGATTTCGTAATACCATCAACTACAGCTCATGAATGAATGTGCTGGCATGGACTTTACTGAAGGAATAAACCTTATTTATGCACAACAGTGAATAAAAGTGGTTTTGAATCCTTATTAGTGACTATTTGCACTGGAAGGATAAATGAGGCTTATTTCAGTCAAAGAGCACAAACTTGCTAATTAATTCCAGTTCTAATCAAAATAACTTGAAATTCAAATAATGAATATTTATGTGGTAAGCTGCCACCAACAGACTGAATCTACTTACTGTCTTTTAACTAAATATCCACTGACTCAATAAGATAATGTTTCCTAAAATTTGGCTTTGATAAATGTGGGAGAACTATATAGGATGGATGTTCACAAAAAGTTGTCTTTGATACAGTTGTTCTAGTTTAAAGTAAATGAAGTAGGTCTGTAACCAAGGCTGATGAATCCAAACAAGCAGCCTCCTACAAACAAAGTAATCAGTCAAGCTACAACAAATTCATGGAAGAGGAAGGCTGGCACTGAAGACTAAAAAAGCTATATGGAACCAGATTCTCAAATGGGGGCAAAAACCTCACTGTCAGGGGGCTTCTGACCTAACTGGACAGTCGTATGCTTAAAAAAAAAATATTATGAATAAAACCAAATTCACCTGGAGTAGAAATATCAGCTATTCAACAAAAGAAACCTAAAAATCAAGCCAGGTTACAGCTTGCACATAAATCTAAAACAAATTCAGAATCATTACATTAAGAAAGATATTTTTTTAAAATGCAATTTTCCTGGAAAACTACAAGGAGGTTAAAGATAATTCAAAATTTGATGAAACCACAGGGCTAAAGGAAACAAATGCAGAGAAACAGAAATTCCTACTTCTGCGTAGAGCCATAAACAAAACAGTGTCTTTATTGTACCAAAATTGAGAGAATCGGGGAGAAAAAAGGCAAAATTGCCGATTTGTTTAAATTTGGTTTTAGAAGCTTATCAAATTTGGATGGTAGTATTTAAAGGAAAAGTAGAAAATTCATCTTTACTCAATAATGAGTGACATCATGCTCAAGCAAATAATGGATATCTCATCGTGATGTTTAATAGGTCAAGATATACAATAAATTTTAAAGTGGAGAGCAGTTAAAGACAAAAAGTTTGTAAGAAAATTTAATGCATTATCAAATTATCATTCCAGACCAATACAATACAGTTATGAGGTTAGGCAAGTGTTTTTTCCCAAAAAAGACATATGCTCTCTCTAAGCTAGGTGGACTCTAACAACTAGTAAGTGTTCTTGTCCTAGGAAATATTAATCAGCATTAACCCGATAACTATGTGGTGGGTGAAAAATGGCATTAAGAAGAGATTGCAGGGACTCTCTTAAAAAGAAAGACAACACTGGATCACAGAGAAGTTACTAGTGTTGTTCCTCTGAGTCTCATCTTAAGTCAACTGTGATACATTTTTTAGCCCTGAAAGAAAAAAATTACTAAAATGTGCCTATAATTTCATACCAGAAGGCATTGCGGGAGAAAAGATCAGAATGTGACATGGCAAGAAACCAATTACCTAATCTAAAGTAAATTGAATATAAAGATAACCACTGCAAAGCATTATTTATCGACTAAAAACATGAGATGCTGTTATAAAATTGACTTTACCGGGGTATATCGCTGATCCTTGATCAAGTAAGAGACAAAAATGTATGCAGCTTATGACAAAGGTGAATGCAAGATTAAGAAAGTCATTTTAGTAGGTACAGACATGAATGAGTAGAACTACAAGAGTCATTAACCATAGTTCTCCTCAAAGACTGTACACATTTCTTGTCCCCAACATTCAAGATTACCATTAACACACCATGACACTACGATGTCTGAGACAACTGAAAACCTGTTATAAGAGAAAAAAAACCTAAAAGAAACAAAACAAATACTAAAATAAATCTATTTATCTTATCAAAACAGAGAAGGACTAGGACTGGTCTTTCACAAACACATGGGCAAGTCAGACAATTTATAAAAGCTACAGAACATTTTTCATACAAAAGTAAACATACTAGCCATGGCTAAACTTAAGTCAGAATTTTATACATTTATAACACCAAGAGGCTTTTCAGTCATTATAGTTTTAAGAGAGAGCTTATTCAAGTTAGGGAAGAGATTACAGAATGAGGCTGCCTTTCACAACTGACAGCATTCAGTATCTCTGCAAGTCCCCTCCATTTTATTTATTCATGAGTGACAAACATACCGAAAATTAGCTATTGAAATATAACCAAATAATTTCAAACAGCAAACAAACAAGCAAAAATCATGATCGAAATCAGCAGTGTTTTTCCTCAGGGAGTTACCCAGTCACTCAATGTTTTTAATAGCAGAATGTTGCTCTGTATGACAATTACTACTGACCAGCAGATATGGAGTTTTTACACCATCTTCTATTATGCAATATGTAGCATACCAATTCAACTTTACATTTTACAGATATTTTAAAGCCATTACCCTGCTTTTCACTTTGTCTTTCAGACAAAAATCCTATGTATAATTGACAACTTATTATCTATTTCATTAAAGAAGTAATTAATTTTTTAAAAAATCAACCTCAGAACAACTTTTTCAGTTAGAAGTTAATGGAGACAATCTTTCTTACTCTATGCTGAAGGTTCACATATTTTTACCTTAAAAAGCTTTACATACTTCATTTGATAATCTTCCTAGGTCACTGAACTACTTTGCTGTTGGTTAACATGAAAATAAAAATCCAGAAGGATGGACTCCTTTGGAAACAGAGGAAAATATTTAAGAAGGAAAATGTATAAGCAATATCTGCACTTTGGTAGCACACTTATTCAGTAGCACAAGTTTGGCCACTATAGAAAAGAAGCAAACAAATAATCGATAAGGGTATTTTTGTAAAGTAGAAAAAAATCCAGTTAAACCTGAAAAGGAAAGGATACTTAAAATTAAAAGATTTTTACTAGTCTACAAAATGAGAAAGTTACAGAGACAGAAGAACCATTCAAAACATCAAGCATGTCATTTAATAACAAAAGAAATAGACACTGAATTTTTAAATCCTCCAAAAAAATTAGGTGTCAAAAACAAGCAGCAGTTTCTCAAGGAAAAAGGAACTAGCAAAAACTAAGAAAACAAAGATTGTGTCAGAAAAAGTGACCAAAAAAAGGTAAAATGCGAAAAGGAACAAAAATTCCAAGGTTAAATCCATGCTATATTACAGGATAATATGGGTTGCCATGGAACAAAGATTAAAACTGTGACCGGCTGGCCCTCTGCTGTTCGATTTGTTCATTTGCAAACTTTTTTTGAACAGGACCTTTTGAGAGGTTCTTCTATCAAATAAGCAACTCTGGGATTTCACTACAAAAAGAATACTTCATTTGTTCAAATGAAAGTCTGACACAAACTGAACTAGTTTAAGGAGCGCAGAAAATATGTTAGCATCTGACGAAAGCCACCTTTCATTGTGGCAGTGAAAGAGCTACCCCAAAGAAGAGAGGCTCAAAAACAAAACTAATATGCACAGAACAGCATTTTACAACATGCCTTTTGTCACACAGATTAGAAGATCTTGGGAAAGATTCATATCACTAGGGAAAACAATATTTAAGGCAATGTTTACTCTGTACTGTAGTCACAAACCAGTTGGCCCTGTTTAACACTGATCTTATTAGAAGCTTGCAGTTTTAGACCCAGAATCAATCTTAAACTTTCCACACAGAATAGCAAATCCAGAAGGTAATGCCAAAGGGACCAGCAGGTCTTCATATGGAATTGGACTCTGCTTAGAAACAGAATTTTTAAAAAAATTTATTTAATACTAGATCCACGACTGTGCTAGATGTATAGATGCATACATGGCAACTGCTGTTAAAGGCAGGGACAAAAGAAATATCCTCACATACAGCTCATGCCACTTTTCTTTAAATGTCGAGCAGAGCTACCACACAAAAACCTTAAGCAACACAAACAGAAACCCATGGCAGATACAAAAACCGCACATGCTATCTTGAAATCTTATCCTTTGAATAGGAAGCTATTTCTTATAAACAAACTAGCAGTCTGCTCATCAAAAAAATAAAAAAACAGCATTAGCATAAAAGGCGTGGCTATCTCCAAATCACAGATAATACATGCTATTATCAATCAGCAGCCTAACACCATACTTAGGCTATGATCTCATAAATTAACAAAAAAAAAAAAAAAAAAAAAAGGGATTACAGAAACAACACATTAATAGTCTCAAAATTATCAGAGTTCATGAAAGAGACAAAATGAATCTTTCTACAGTTTATGGACTCTCTTCTAAGAAGTTCCCAGCTTTCTAGGACACAATTTCCATCAGTGTTTGTCCTTACTAAGCACACATCCTTAACAAAGCACGTCGCAATGGGAATTAAGTTCGTGTACTGAAATCATGCACATACCTGATGCAATGCAGAGATGTCAAGCACACCAATATTTTGAATTCCTTGGAGGAACACTGGAAGGTTTTCCATGACATGGTGGGCTTTATTGAGAAGAGAGCTGGTACTAGAAACCACATCCAGTAGCATGTTCAGTACATTGCTTGTCTCAGATGGTATCTTAATCTTGGAAAAAAAGGAAAAATCACAACAATAAATTGCAATTTGAAATAAATTTTAATCTTTGAATGAAACATTCAAAAAAAACTGATTATACAATGTTCCTGCAAACCATGTTTAACAAAACTCATTTGTTTTGCTCCCCAGTTACTCTCAAATTCAGAAAAAGAAAAATCCTCTGGTATTGTTACAACTGGCCTATGACAAATCAGGAATTAAAATCCAGAGAACAGGTTTAGACCTACCAAGCTGAAGAGAGCTCTCCTACCCAAGTTGTTTATGGCACCTGCAACATCCTGCCCCCTTGGAATACAGTGTAAATGAGAACATCTTCTTCAACAGGTTCAAGATATTTGATGCAACAGCTTAATATTTTTAAAATCATTTTAAATTTAAATTAAACCTAGCAACCACATTAGTTACTATAAGGAACTACATTAGACAACAAACTTTCCTGTCACATTGTTGTTCCCTTTGAATTTTTAATACACACTGCCTTTTACCTAAAATAATTGTGTGTGTTTCATTCCTTACTTGACTAAAGTTCAGTTGGCTGTTTGCTGTTTCCACCATGCTAGTCTTGGCATTATGAATTTTCTATTTCCTTCGCTTTTATAGGTTATTTAGATTACATGGTAATATAAACTGATTCATTGTTACCTGCCTATGCATGATAATAAAAACAATATAATCTCATTATATACTTTCAGCTGCTTCCTCTGATTATTTTATACATTTTTATTTTACTTTCTACTATAATAACGTCTGTGCTTAATTTTCTTCTCAGGCTTCACATGCTTTTATACATTTTTTAAAAAGTGATAAAAATCTTATTCAGTTAAAAAATTAGTAAAATCTCCATAATAATTTAGGATGAGCTGATAACAGTTTTTGTTCTTTGCTAGGAGTTCATTATACTTCAGCAGGGTTCATCAGAACCATCAAGCCACCAGAAAAGCCCATCAGAATAAGCACTGGGTTTTTTTCTCCTTGCTGCCCCCAAGTTTGCAGACAATTCAGGAAGCAGAAATCTTTTCCCTCTGGTATCTTAACCTATTCTGGGAAATTGTCTTATTTTTAAAAGTGTGTGGCCAACCTGTTTAACTGCACATGCAGCATGCAGAATATAACCCTGCATCTACAGCTTTAGAACAAAATATTCTTCCTCCCAATGTCATAAATATTTTTCAACTATTTGTATTACAACATTTTATGCTGACAATAAATTACCCCAAAAGAACTGAAATAAACCTCTGCTAGCTATCAGAAATGCCATACAATAATTTTGCTCATACAAGTAAAAATATTAACTCACTGAAAATCCACACTAGATCCCAGATCATCTACAATTGTGCAGATATTACAGTTTTGCTACAAACTTCTGCATCACCTTCTCTATAGTTTTGGCACTGTATTATTCTTGACAAAGTAATGTGACTTGAGTCATATAAAATGTAGGGGGTTTGCTCTTAAAGAAAGGCTCGTCCTGAGAGCTGGAAAAGCTCCTTTTTGATGGATCCACTTGAATTGCTAATATGTTTTCTAGAGCAAATAAAATGCATTCCAGAGTGGAAAATAATTTTGTAATTCTTGTAATGTGAGCTCCTATGCTTGTTTTAGTTCCAGTGATGTCAGATCAGTCTTCCACAATTACAAATTAAGAAGTGACTAATTGCATGAACTGCAAGCTCTGCTAGAGATTAATAAAATTACATCTTTGACCTCCTTCCATAATTAACTCCTCGGTGTTTTCTCCAAATCTTTCATAATGAACTCCTCAGTGACAATTTTCCAGAGGAAGTGAGAAACTGAATACTGTAGCATCTACCAACCCCATTCTTCAACTGCTGTGTTTACTTTGTGGAGCTAAATGAAGACAAGAAATGCCATATGTCCAGTGTTTGCTTCCACAGAGTAAGAACATCTGAAGAATAATAGAATTATTCATTTATCTACCCGCATGCTTTAAACCACCTTCAAAAGAAAAAGATAGAAGCTGAATACTTTTTTTCTCATCTTACCTTGTAAATGATATGACGTAAATTCAAATTCTGTATAATCAGTACAAACATGGTATACAAGTCCAGTGCTGGTAAAGAACATAATTCTTCCACTACCAGGGAAGTTTTACTGTTTTCAGGTAGCTTTAGCAGCAGCCTAAGTACTTCTTCATCACACCTTCCAGTTAAAGCTACCACAAAGGCACTGTAAAAAAACTATCATAATGTATGTGTATTAAAAATTTGTCTCCCTGAAACGCATCGCCTTCTTTTATAATCAATAAGGTGAGAATTTGTGTCACAGTAAAATGATAATTCGCTGTCATCAACAGACTAGAAATAATTAATTTATACAGCTCTATATCAGATTGGCATGTCCTTACTTTATATTCTATGTACCTATAAAGAGATGAAGTATATTTCTTATAAAGATTTACTTTCATTTGTGGACAGATCAATCATTCATTCTATAAGCATTCATACCATAAGCAAGCATATTTACAATGCTGAACATACCCCTTCTAGCAGATATACACCTTTGTTGCAGAAACACCTGAAGATTAGAATCTAGATGCACAAATCACTAAAATCAAACAATATGGACCTTCCTTCTTTCAGAGGACACACAAATTTAACACTTAGGGATGCCTATATGGCACAATGTTCAATCTGAGACAGCTCACATTTCTTAGTTCAACACTCCTTTGAAGCATTATTATTTAAGAGTGGACGAAGCAACAAATACCTAAGCAAACCTCGGGCGAGACTACAATTAAAACTCCCTGGATAATGATGGTTTGTTTCTTCCTACAAAAATGCCACATAAAATACAAATGCTTGCAGCCCAGATATCTCTAGAGTTCCTAGCTACCCTGTCTCCTGAAATGCCTGAAAGAAAGCAAATGTCAGCAAGTCCAGAAAAATTAGAAGTTCAGAGTACTCAGGTCTCTGTTGTAGTCCTTAGGACAGAACCTACCTGTACTGCCTCCACTGCACGCATCTACAGATGCTAGTAACAGTACTCAGATGGGGAGAGATCACCAAGAAAATTAAATTAGGAGCCCAAGTTGGTCAAGATATGCAATTTAACCCTATAATTCCTATGAACATTTTAACTTCTAACTTATTAATTTGACTTTTATATTTTTATTCTAGAACAGAATTTTTAAATATTCACCTTTTTTGTGCGCATAAAAGGAACCGAATATAAATATATTCATTCCGGTAGCAGCATAAAAGGATTTGGACTTCTTATTGTGGAGGACATTTGACTCTGTGATACAATTTGAAATTTATTTCTTCATGCCCCACATGAATATCACCATTACAATCCAATTTTAACCTTTAATTAAGTCCCTCTAAACATTTCTTGCAGCTTTGTGAGTGCCAGAGCTAATCCAAACTCCTGTGTTCAGTAAATGAATGCTGATAGTCTTCAGGTTACAGGTTTTGAGCAGTCTCAAAACACTTACCACATGGCAACGAACATGGCCACAGTATAATATTGCAGTAGACATTAAGGGTAAGTGCAATAAACACAAACTCATGGGTTTACTCTTACCATTCCAGAGCAAGCACAATAGTAGTAGAGAAGCACCGCAATGGGCCTGCAGCTATCATTAGGGTTATCAGGCAGTGGCTATATATACCAAAAACATGATGGGCATGCCTCAACTATAGCTTAAAAACAAGTTTGTGCATCTTGAATAATCAGTAAAAGACCTAGGCTTTAATGCTGCAGTTGGACTGGCGGAGGATTTAAGCACTTCAGCAAACAAAAAATTCTGTATAGATATGTGAATGTGAGATGTGCACATATATCTAAACTCCACATAAGACTTTGGCAAAAAATAAGGAAAGAAAGACATTTGAAAAATCAATCAATTAGCACTATTATTCCAAAAGATCAAAGGTGCACTGAATCCCATTTAACTGGATTGCTTCCAGAAGACTTCTCTCGTTACCATTTGCAGATATCAAAATAACAAGCTAACAATAAAGGCAGTCACGTTGCCAAAGAAGCAGAAGAACAAATAATCTATAAGTAGTTACAATGGTCTGAACCGCCTTTTTAATAGCCACACTTTTCATGAATAAAACTTGTAACTTTTTCTGCAAATGGAACATCAGTGACACCCAGTGGCTGCTTGATTGACCTGACTAGTTTATACCAAATGTACCCCCAACTCTTTTCAGTCATATAAGCATTAACAAAAGAGAGTACCTGTAAGTTGGCTGGCATTTTTCATTATTTCTGTGAGTCACTGGGATCACAGAAAACAGCAGCAATGATAACACACACAGTCCTTCAGACAGAAAACTTACACAATCCACGCTTTACAAAATACTCAAGAGGCAACAGATACAGAAAGCTGAGGTAAGGCAAGATACTGGTAAGATAATGTAAGAACAGTGAGGAGTACATGAAGGAATACCAAAAAAAAAATTTAGACAATTCTGTATGGCAAGGATCAGAGGTGGGAAGACATAAAATTATTTCTCCAGGAATCCTCACCTTTTCTACATTACCAAGACAGCAAAGCTCAAATTCCATGTCAGCACAAGGGGGTAAACACTGCTGAAAGTAATGAAGCAGTGTCATTTAGATCAGAAGACTAGGGCTACTATAAATTGATCTCTTAATGTTTCACATTATTATTCTGAAGTCCTAAAGTTCACAAAATATTTCATATAGAAGCACCAAGTGAAAATATAAGATTCCACACAAACAAGGTGGTTTGTATTGTTTCAGTTGGCACATCAGGCTATAGGTTGACCTATTAGTTTAATTCCTCTTTTCAATCTTTTACCTTTGAATTAGAGATACTGGCTTCCAAGATGGTACTGATAGTTTCTTCAGAAATATTGACAGAAGAACCAATGTCCAGCCTCAACTGAGTAAGATTCTGCACGCACTCTCTGACTTTCACATCTGGAAGAGAAGAAAAATAATGCCAACACCACCAGTCTGCTTAATTAAATTTCCCACAGACTGTATCCTTTTTGTTAGATTTATACTGAGGAGTCATAAAGGACACAAAAACTTCATGTTGTGTAATTCATTTCTACTTCAAAAGTAAAGGTCACTCTCCTGAGGCAGACTGAAGGGCTTGTGCATCCATTTGCATTATCCTGTAAGAGCACAGGTTATTATACATCCGTGTATGTTGAGAACATCTGAAATTAGGGAAGCAGCCTTTAGTCCTTTAAGATTTTCTTCTTCCACTAACTTAAGTCCCCTCCTCTTTCTAATGAACCCCCGTGTCTTATTGGCCAGGCTCTGACAAGGTAAACTATGCTGCCCTGTGCCAACTCAAGTGCATGAATATGCATGTGTATACAGTGAAAATATTTTGCATTAAGTAAGTAGTTTCCACAAGTAGTATCCATTTAAAGTTTGAAGAACAATTAAAAAGTTATTGTTCTGCAAAATTACACAGCAGTGACTTGTAAAAAAATTGAAGAAAACTGGAACCCACCATTCAAAAGATTAAAATTGCTGAGAAAAGCTGCTGCTGGATTTTCTGACAACTGTAGCTCCAAATTTTCAGCCATCCTGAAATGATAGCCCAAGTTATCAGAATTAAGCCATTGACATTACTATGCATAAAGAGTAACGTGAATAGTGAAACAGCCACTAAAGAAGGCAAAAGGGTCACATTATGCTCTATGTGCACACATTGTGCATGCAACTCAGCAACTCTACAGACCTTCTCACACTGTGTTTATACAATGCAGAGAACATCATATTTCACACCTAAATGAGACTGCAAATGGAGAGATCTTCCCATGATTGCTAAGTGCTCTAGCATAGGTCTAGCAATGTCTCACTTCCATGTTTCTTACTGAATACACACTTTTAAAACCTAGGGATACAAAGCACTGCAGTTCAGGATGAATAAATTCTAAATAATTGTAATTTAAGTAATAAAGAGTATAAACACGTCAGATATTATTTACCATTCAAAAACTGGACATAAGTCTATGGTCCATAAAAGCAGTATCTAAGCTCACATTCTTCTGTATTATTACTATAATTCCCAGAGACCTTTCAAGCCCATTAGGAAAACAATCCAACAGTCAAACCAGTATAGCAACAATTACGACCAGGACCACTTCTAACCAACAGCAATTTTGAAATACTCTGTAGCAGCACTTTTACTAATTTACTTCTAACCGACAGCAAGTTTGAAATACTCTGTAGTAGCACTTTTACTAATTTACTTAAAATCCAGTATTTTTCCTCAAGGGAGTAGCAAACATGAAATTTTTTAGAGTTCAAGCCTGTCAATTTCGAAGCACCATCCTGTGTTTCTGACTGTTTGAACTGCTGAACTGATCTGAATGTTCAATGTTTTGCAAAAGATATCCAGCTGCTGAGAGGACAATGCCATAGGCAAAACAGTTTTAAATAAGAAATTAAGATATCAAAATTTTTACCTAACTGAGGTCATGGAAAATTGAAAATTTTCTTAGTTATGATTCAAAGTATTCTCCTTGTGGAGCAGCAAGGTCTGCTGAAAGTGCTCAGCCAAAGTATAATGTCTTTTAGAAATGTCCAGAATTTTGCTAAATTACTTAAATAATTTGTGCATTGTACCCACTCAATTTTCAGTTAAATGAAAAAAGCTTAAAGAAACTTTGCTAAAAAGTACGTCTCCTGTATAATTCAGAACACAGACATAACAAAATAACATCCCTAACAGTAACCATTTGGGGTATCAAAATGTAAAAGGCTTTACATTTGCTGTCACCTCTGTATGTTCTTCAACATTAGCTGACAATCACAGCTGCCATTGCTGGTATTCTGCAGGGCTCTCAGGAAGCTCTCCAAAGTACTGGAAAGTTTTTGGTTTACATATGCCATACTCTCACAATCCCCCTTGTTGAAAGCAGGCCACATTCTTTCAATATCCTGAAAAAAGTGATCATATGGTTAGCAAATTCGTGAGATTATGTTATTGCTCTAAGTAGTGGGTTTTGGCAACTAGATGATGCATGTTTTTTCTAAAGAGAATATGGGTAAAGCATTCTTACAATACTCATTGTATTTGTAATTGAAACTGGACAAGAGGTTTTCAAGAACCAAGAAATTTTCAAATATTTGAACTTTGGAAGCAACCAAAAATATTTGCGAATTTGACCTAACCTATCAAAGAAATTCAACCATTAACGAAAATGCCAACATTTTAATTTGAAATTTAATTCAAAATTAAATGAGCTTTTGTGTTTGTTTGGTTTTTATTTTAGGCTGGCCATCTTTATCTTTTTCCAAAAAATTGTTCTAAACAATATCAGTTTCCATTCAGCAAACCAAAATATCTGGATACACATATGCAAAGTTTTTCTTGCATTATGCTTTGTGTAGTATTCTACTTTTATCTTTTCTCCTGAATATACATATTTATGATTTTGCACGGGTTTAATATTTGCAGAAGTACATCAGAATGATTGTGAGTAATGAAATGTGTTTCTTCCACAAAAGTCTACTTTGAGATAGGAGTGCTGCCTCTGACATCTTTTTACCTTAAAACATTGCTGTTTGTATCAGCAAAATGTTCAGGTAAACAAACTAGCTGATCTATTTCATAAAGAGGAGGCAAATTCTATGCTAAAAACATGACTTTAATATTTCATCTGTGTGTGCATGCATGTATGTGCTATCCAAAGGCCTGCTTCCAGCTCTGGATGAGACTCTAAATGCCAAATGTTGCTCTCTCCTGCTGGTAATTTCACTGTTCAAGAAAAAAAGGCTGACCCCAATTGGTAACCACAATTGCTCTTTTAACTTGAATGACCCTGGACAAGAAATCTACTTGTATCTAGGCTGATTTCACAGCTGTTCCTGTGAAGATTTAAAAGTATAAATCTACTATGATTCATGGAATTAGCAGTATCACAGAATTTAAAGGAATTAAAAATGGGCTGCTGTTTGATATTGAATGGCAATGTACTTATTCTAGTCATAGGAATTCTAGTAATTCTAGTTATATTTACAGCTTTCAAAGCTCACCAATGATTATTTAAGGAATTCCTTCTGGGTATTAATATCAAAAGCATCAGAGCCATACCCATACAAACCTCAGTTTTGGATAGCCACTGTGGCAACCCACCATTCAGATGGAAAAAAAAGAAATTTCCATTAATTTCCAAAGTTTAATTTATGTTGTAAAGAACACTTGTAGGTGTGGAAACCACTCAAACCTGATAATGATCCCGAACAAGAGTCATTCCTTCAATGACAGAGAGAAGTAAGTGACTTGTTAATCCATCTTTACACTTTGTAACAACACAGAAAAGGTTGCCAATGACAACTGGTTCTTCTGTAAGAGAAAATGTCCAGGCTTAATCAGTTAAAAAAACAAATAAATTACTGTAATCAGATGAAAAGTTAACTAAATAATAAGGGACGGGAAAATTTTTAAAAGCAAAGAAACTCTGATGTGTTAAGGCACTGAGAAATATTTCTGGATAAATTTCTTTATCACTGTAGAGGGCAAGAAGGGCTACTTTGATTCAATTTCTATTACTCTTCTCCATTACACTTTCCTGATCAATAACAAGAACAGCAATATCTGCTACAGAACCAGAGAAGAAAACTTCTCGCTCTTTGTGAGCAAGAAGCATAACTCTGAGAAGCTGTATATATTAACCAGACCTACCTCCTCCTCAAGCAGGCTCCCTGGATCCTATTTCACTGTGGAGACACCAACCCTCCAGTAAGTAGTAACTTTCAAACCCTAGCTGCAAGGGGAGTCGTCCAGCATTACATAGACATTTTGCATATGTAGGGATAAAGAATCATCCATATGGACAATCATCCATAAAGGAAGTTTCTGTCCAAGTTTGCAGCACCCATGTCCCTGGAAAAAAAGTTCCATTCCCCTGCCTGTAGTGGATTTGTACATAAGAGAGCAGGGAAGGAGTTATAAAATAAGTAATAAAATAAGAATGACAAAAATCTAGTTTCTCAATGTCAGGTCTCTCGATACATCAACTGTTCTGTGATGAACAGATCATCAAGACAGATCCCAGGTACCTGGCACACATTTTCACTATCACTCATTCTGACCTCAGCACTGCTATGGTTTCACTCTAGTAGCTACATCAGTCACGGGACAGTGGAGAAGATAGTCAGAATTGGGTGGTAATCACTTTTTACATTTTGTTTGGAAATGAAGTTGGTGTAAGACATTACTGATCTCATTCCTTGCTCTAGAATTACAGGTTAATGCCTCCTAATTGCTCTTTGCAAACACTTCTGGGCACAGGTGGGTTAAAGTATGAAGTCTGAAAAGCAAATGCTTTGGTTTCCCCAAAGAAAACATAACATTAAGTTACACCTTTAGGTCAATACAGAGCCTTTCTTAAAGTGCTCATCTTGGGAGCCTATATGCAAGGAATAAAACAAGTTTAACACATTAAAATTTGAACAAATTTTTGAAGGTGAAGATGGTGAGATACATTTAGACAATCCACTGGCTCAACATGGCCAGAAGTGGGAGATGCCATTTCCTTTATATACTTGCCCCATTTTTCCCTTCTGTCAGCTATATGCTACCCTGTGGCAACCCTGTCTCATTAAAAAGACTTCTCTTCACTAGCCTGGCAGAAAAATATCCAGTAAAAGAAAATAAAGACAAAACACAAATATGTAGAGAGTCTTCTGCTGGGTTTGTGAGTCAAATCAAAAAAAGGAAAAGGTCCTGGTGTGTCAGAGTAAGCCCAAGAGGAAGAGAAAGAGCACACGGCTAAAAATGAGAGAAGACGAACTGCAAGACCTCCAGCTTCCACTGAGATTTTGAATCAACACGATCACTCTAGAAAGAAATCATCCCTTTATGTGATCTGTATCAAAATTTTTCCTGTGCCTCTATTGGTTTAATTTCCAGGCATCAGTATGCTTGCCTTGCTTGACAACACCCAAATTAACATATTTTCACTAAAGGTTGCTCAGAGTAAAACCTTAATATTACAATACTGACATGTATGGTGACCCATACAGTCACTATTGTGGTAACCAACCTGAAAAGATTTTAAGAACATTCAAAATGGTAAACTGCAACTTCTGCAATAGTAAGACACTATCAGGATATAAATGTTTCTGAAGAATCTTGCAGATTTTAGATGCTCTGTAGAAAGATTAATAAGAAAGAATTATTTTCATAACAAGGGTATCACAGAAAATTTTCAACAAGTGACTATATACTGCTGCAATCTTCTATGGACCATATTGGGATTTAAATATTAACAATTATTACATTTGTCTAAACTATTTCAAAATTGGATCTTAATAATTCCATTTAAAAAAAAAAAAAGTTTTCATCAAGGTCACATGTTTTCTAAAGACCTTAGGAGTGTTAGAAAGTACCTTAGCAAAATAAGCAAAACCATAATGGCTTCAGAAATACTGAGAGCTCCCAGCATACACTGACTTGATGGCAAAGAGCAAATACACAAAATCTCTGATAATCAGCATTTGAAGAAAATAAACCACTTTTCTAGTATTTGCTTTTGATTTTTCAACAGATTACACTAATACCTGGCCCTGCTAACCACTCGTTTGACATATTTGTATACAATTAATCATGAAGGTCTTAATACCACCTCAGAGTCATGCATCAACTTCAGTTTGCTGTTTCTTAGACGGTCTACATCAGCAGGATCAGTAGCTCAACCAGCAAGACACCCTACAGCTGTTTGGAGCACCCATCTTTTGAGATTCATTCAGTGAGTACTACTTAACTGTAGCAACTCTGATCTAGCAGTAGTTTTATTAAATAAGTTGTCAGTAAACACTAAGCTAAAGCAGAGTTTCCTCTGCTGATGAATTACATTTGATTTCAGTAATCTGGCAAAAACGATCTTGTGCTCATGATTCCTTCAGAAACTGTATTTGTTAAACTGAACAAATTAACATTATAACTATAGCCCCAAAAGTGTCATCTTGTTTGCATGAGTCATCAGCAAATGTAAGTTGAAGACATTTCAAATACAGAATACTTAAATTTGGATATAGAAAGGAAAAAAAAAAAAAAAAAACCCAACAGCACAAAATATTAGTCCCAAGCTTTCCTTAATATTTAACTCCAAAGACAAAATGACTACTGTCCACCAATAACTGTGGGGTTTGTGTTCACACCTGCAAGGATTTTAAAACACTAGTATCTTAAAATATTTGGTTCTATAATAATTCCAAAGAAACCACCTCAAGTACCAATACAGATGACTAAACATATCAATAACTTGGTCCACACAATATAATGTGATACCAAACATGGCTGATCCGAACATAATAAGTTGATACAAAATACCGTTCTACTCAAAGGCACAAATCTGAAATAAAACATTAATTACCTTAATAATTAATTTTTGATTGAGATGTTTACAAAGACCCCTTCTGTCATTGTTAGCACACTATCAGAATGAGTACATAGAAAATGCTCACCTAATTTCTGCCATTAAATCCTCACGCAAATCCTTTAGTAAGAATGTTATCTTGTTCCTGTCTTGTTCTATAGTATCCTGCATGATCTCCAGAGCTCTGTTTTGGGACTGAATAGAAACTTCTCTGTATTGTGCATTACCAAGAAATGAATCAATGAAGTCAACTATCTGAAGCTCAACATTGTTTGTATGCAGAGCTTCTTCTATAACAGCAAGATCAGCAATTATATGAAGGAGACTGTTCAGCAAATGTGGATTAGCCATATGAGTATTGTTCAATTTTTCTCTGCTAAGATGACCATCAACAAACAATGTATCAGTGTAATCTTCCCTAGACTTATTTTGGAATAGCTCCAGAAAGTCAATAATGTCTTTGACAACCAGCAGTAGGTCATCTGATGAATTTTCATTAGCCGTAAGGAGAATTAGAGCATGCATTATTTTAGAAAAATTTTTATTGTTACATTCGCATAGAAAGCTGTTCACAATCTCTTCTATGTCTTTAAAATTTCTTAACATAGCATCTACAGATGATGTATTAAACTGCTGTATTAAAGCATCCAGAGCCATTGAAGAGGACTGTCCAGTGGCTAACCTTAGCAACTGAAACTCTTGGTCTATCACTGCAATTAAGTGTCTAACCTCAAAATTCACCAATAAATCTTCTATGCTTGTGATTATAGGAAACCAGAAGGTCTCAAAGTTATCAGCTGTATTACTGTTTCCATTTAAAGCTGATAATACCATAAGCATTGAGTATGTCTGGTTTCCAACAGAAGACAGCATCATTAAAGGCTCAATTAGAGAAAGAAAAGAAAGGACAGCTTCTGTATCTAGGAGTCCGGAAACTTCAGTGGTCATATTCTTAACATTAGTAAGAACAGTCTTTACAAGTGATGTTCTTGAATGCTTTTTCCAACTTAGACCACCATAAACATCATCCAGCTGTTCAAGAACACCTTTGGCCATCTCCATTTCTGCCACTGGCATACTGCTTAGTGTTTCTACAATTTGTAAAGCCACTTGTCTCTTCAGTGTGGAGGAACAACTGGCTGAGTATGCATTATTCACCTGCAGTGGCACAGCGTAAAGAGATAGCTCATTCCAAAAATCTAGCAGCTCTTTGAGAACTGAGCCATTTACATGATGGAGCTCGGAAAACTTCAAAAGAATAGAGTTCCATTCTTTAATCTGATGAAAAAAGCAAGTCAGATTACGAGTTACATCTGTCTGAAAGTCTTCCATAGTACACGAGGAACCGTCCTCCAGAGTGATGAGTTTCAGCTCCTTAATGACTTCAATGACTGCATTGTAAGTAAGTGTAGAATTGCTCTGCACAAAGTCACAGGGTTTAAAAGTGGGATCATTCTGAGGTGTTGCTGTTGTCAGAGTTCGGCAGAATGCTGCAGAAAAACAAACTGAGACCTCTGCAGGTTTATCAGACATATCCATCAGTGTCTCCAGCAACATTAGAAGACCTTCTACTTGGTTAGAGAATTCCTCTTCAGTAAATGTTGCCATTTTTGCTTCCTGAGTCAGTACGAAAGCATATACTTCAGATAGTGCTTCTGTGATGTTTCCATGAGCTAATTTTTCTGTAAGGCTGATGACATCAAAGAGGAGATGGAACATTTCATCTACATCATACAGTTCATTTTGTTCAAAGAGTTGTGTTATTTGCCATAAGCCAGTCAGGTTCCAATTGCACGAATTGTTCTCAAATGCATCCCACCAGTCTGTTAACATTCCTAATCCTGAGTTCTCAACAGACAACGTCTTGATATTTTTAAAGAAATTACCTAGGCTCCTCTGGACTTGTTTGAATTGACTTATTAAGAACTCAACATCCATGTTCCTCACATTTTGCACTAAGGCTACCATATGCTTTAGAAACTCTTTCTCATCTCTTAATGGAAAGCCAGTAAAACTAGAAGACTTGAAAATCTTAAGTGCCTTCCTTACCAGTTCAATATTCAGAGCTGATGTTTCTATCAGTTTCTGGATAAGTGTTTTATGTTCACCCTGCAAGTTTGAGTCAAGTTTACTAATCACATATTGAAAGAACTCCATCAACAAACCGGTATTTTTCTCATGCAAGAAAGGTTCAATCTCAATATCCAAATGAGAGGAGCTGTTTTCTTGCATTTCAAAAGTTTTATTTTTAAGAAGAGTTTGAATTTCTGTCAAAAGTTCTTTTGATGAAAGCTGAACGTGGCTAAAAGGATAAAGGAACATCCTCAAAGTCCTGTTAAATCCATGGACTGATTGACTAAAATGGGTCTTATTTGATGTATACCATGAGTGCCGCACTAAATCATTAACAAACATTTGTATTCGTCCTCCAGAGTTATTTAAAGATGTAAAAAAAAAATCAAGCACATTAATGTCATCTTTTACATAAAATTCAGGGAGAACAAATTTTAAAGTTTTTCCTATAATATTGAAGTAAACATTTACACAAATCACATCGGAACCAGTGAGGGAACATTCAGGGAGTGTCAAATTAAAAATCAAATTAACAAAGTCCATCACGTTCATTAGCTTAGCATCTGTCTCAATGTTTCCCAGAGATTTCAGTAGAAATAAAATATGTTTTGCACTTTCAAAGTGGGAAGGTGACTTGTATTTTTCACTGAGATTGCTTAATCCACGTATCCATCTGTTACAATCCTCTGCTTCATCCACTGTACTATAAAAGTTTAGAAAATAATTAAGATGAGATGAAAAATTTGTTTCTGAATGGCTCATGTCTTTCAGAGCGTTGTCTAAAATTAGTTTGGTAATATTCTGGAAAATGTTGATACAAACCATATATTTGCCTTGAGGTACACTTTTAAGGAAAGCAGTTGTGTCTTTTATCTCAGTGAGAATAATTTCAAGTTCCTTTTGGGAGAGCTTGAGAATAGTAGAAAGGGAATTTACAATGGAAAATACACCAGCACCCCTATCTTCTCCCTCAGATCCTGCTGAGAGGGTAGTATAAAGCCAAGAATTCAAAAACTCTCCATTAACGACCTTCAGTATAGATTTATGCAATTCAGTTAACGTGATTCTCATAATTTCTAAAACACTTTCTAAACTGTTACCTTTAAGTGAGCTTGTGACATCAACTGCATTGTTAAATACATTTTGAAGATTAGCAAGGAAAGCTTCAAAATTTTTCCAGTCATTTAAATCACCACGTTCTTCAAATATGATTTTTAATAGATTCATTGCTGCTTTTGTAGCTTTAACAATAACCATAGCTGTACTATTGCAGAGTTCGTCATGAGTTGCATTTAAAAGGTGTTCTGAGAGATTTTCCAAATAATTTCTTAGACAGACAAAAAAGGTTGAATTCAAATTTAAGATTTTGGATGCTTCTTCAAAAATCTCTGTGCAGGTTTGAAGCCATGTAAAAGTGCAGTGCAAAGCAGAATGCACTCTTACTTTATCTCCAAAGTTTGTTACATTAGACAGAACACTGTCCAATGGAAGCAGAAGTAAGTCATAAACCTCTGCTGACTGAGCTACAGAAGTAATGTTTGATAGATAAAAATCATCACACCCATTATTAACTAGGCATTCTGGGGAGATATCAAGAAACTGTTCCAAATAACAAAAGGCAGACGTTTGAAGCTCTTCATCTACAAACAAAGTTTTAAGGCTGCTCAGAATGTCATAGACAACTTGCATCTCTTTTTTTCCTCTCTGTGCAAGAGATTGGGCATGAAACTCTGTGTAGTTGTAAATGATTAGTAACTTTTCACATAGAGACTTACTGGTGAAGTTCCAGAGAAGATCAAAAGTTTCAGACAGAAAATCAAAAACTTGGTCCATATCTTGGAAATCATGCCATACTTGAAAAGATGAAATATCTTTTGAAGTTTCAGAAAGAGATGTTAACAGAGTGCTATTGCTCTCAATATTTAAGACAAGATTATCATTCTGATACAGAGAGAACAGTATTGGAACAAGTGAGGCTGCACTAGTACTGTTTAATTTTTGGATATTTTTGAAGAAATCATGCACAATTTCTGCAAATTCTTGTACTTTATAAATAAAAAATGCATTTGACAGTAATAAAGAGGAGTCATTACTCACTCTATGAATAGTGCCGAAAGACACATTGACATGATCATCAGTGAACAATCCAAACTCAACGAAATTCCTTAGGGCACTTTCACCCAAGTGTTTTAGATGGTTCAAAGCAGTAACATTTAACTCTGGCCCATCAGTCAAGATATTTTGGAGCAATAGCATACTTCTATAAAGGATTTCATTTTCTGTAAAGCAATATATAATTCTAGATAAGGTCACCAATACCTCCTCCTCTTCCACTTCACTCATATGAGAGAGCCTAGAATGAAGTTTATAGAATAAAATTTTCACTATATGCCAGAAAACTTCTGTCTTCTCTTTCATCCAGAATCTCTGAAGCGGCTGGAAATTTCTTTGTAGTTTATTAAGGAATTCAGAAACTGCAACTGATAAATTGGTGGAAGATTCCTTCCCGTCAGCAAATTTTTTCATCCATATAATTGTATTATTCAAGACATTTTCTTTTAGAGACTCGTTTGAAGAAGCTAAGAAATCAAGCATTATAATTTCTTCTATGACTTCTACAAGACGAAAAAAATGATCCACTTCCTTTCCACCAGAAATCTGTAAATTTTCCTTGCTCTTCAAAAACTCTTTAAAAGATGTCAAAATCCTGAAAAAAAACAAGCACAAGTTTTTTTCTTGTTAGTACCTAGCAGGCAGACAAGAATTGGTTAAACACATATTTGATAATTTTAGAATATAGCTTTATTTACTTAAAGAAAGTTCAAATATCATTTAAACAGCCATCACAAATTAATCACCACAAAACCCGAAACAGCACAAATAACAATCCCTTTGATTTTCAAAAATGTGACAAAACTAATTGAAAATTCACAGCCACGTTCAAATCAAAACCTGAATGTAGGCAGCTAGGTTAAAGAAGTGTACATTTATCATTAATTATAATGAAGCTTGCAAGCCACAAAGAGTCAAATACCTTTAAGGATATCACATTTTCAGGTGCTGAAAAGAAGAAAACTTTTTTGCTCCATAGACTAATTATCTTATAGACAGGAACTTATCAAGAAAATTGACCAAATCCTCTAACCTTCTGTGAATTCTGAAGATGTTTTTTGTTTTATCATAATTATTGAAAGCAAAAACATTCCAATTATCTGAGAGCCAAACACTGCTATTCTAGTATCTAGAAAAAACCCTAAAACATTAAATAAAAGTGAAAACTGTAATGCTCCAAGTGATGTTTTCATTGTGTCAATACTATTTATCAAAATAAAAAATGTTTACTAGCTCTGTAAGACTGGTCAAGATTGAGGTGCAAGGAAAAATGAGCACTCCAATTCAAAGGTCTCAAGCTGAAAATACTTTGTCCTTAAAAAAGTCTTCTTTTAATAGTTAAAGAGCAGAATACCACACACTATCAAATAACTCTGTGAGAGAATTTCTGTGTCAGTTTCTGGAATGGCTTCTACAGGAGAGAAACCAAGATGTCAAACACTGAAAAAAAAAAAAAAATTTAAAAAAAAAGCATTCCCCACATAGAATCTCTTTCCTAGACCTATTCAAGTCAAAGAAATAGCTCTGCATGTATAGCAAAGAAAACTCAAACAAATCAGGTGATTTTGTTAGCACTACTGTGTGGGGAAAATAGTGCATTTAAGACCAAATCCAAATTCTTGCCCTACCAAATATGTCTGCACTGATTTTTAACAAAGTTGGGAAAGACCACAAAAGAAAAGTGATTGAACAGGGTATCAATTTGCATTCTACTCCTTAACTTCCATTTTGTTGTTATTGTAAATATCAAGAATCTCTAAGATTTTGAAAACCCAAACCAGGAGTTATTTGCTTCTAGAGCCCATTTTAATCAAACTGCTAGAGTCCCTGTTAAGTTGTGCTTAATTCCCTTTATCTACAATTTTTAAGTCCTGCGTAGAACTTTCCAGATCATTTATAACAAGTCCTTTTTCTTTTTTTAAATAGATAGGGAAACCACTTTAAACCACTTCATTTTGCATAAATTTCCCAGAACAACTGTCTTGATTTTGTTTTAAAACATATGTTGTGGATCAGAATACCTGAAATTAAAGCACAGTCAATCTCTACAAGCTTCAAGTTCCACTTATCCTGAAATGGGAATTGAAGGCATTTCCAAAGTTGCATCGAAATAGATTTCTACTAGATTAGTGACCAACTGCTAAAAGAATAACTCTACTGTATCGAAGATTTGGACTCCTTTACCAAACAAATAATTCTGAGTAACTTATTATTCTGAACTTAACAGGGCTTATAGCCATATCTTCATATAAAGTGCTTATATTTGCATTAAGTGATAAGCCAAATGGGGAACTTGAAAGTTCAAAAACATTAAAAGAAATCTTAGGCTAAGAGTGCCCAGATAAGACTGAAAACTACATATATACAAACACATAGCATTACATCATAAATCTGTTCTCCATAGTAGGCTTCTGTTTCAAGATCTCCTGCACAAACTTACATGAGAATGACTGCTACAACAAAAAACCAAAACATTTCAGATGCACTGGACTTGCTGTACATGAGTAGCCTGATCCTATAGCATAGGTCCATGAAAACCATTACTGATAACTATTTGTGGGAATTCAGACTGTTTGCAAAAAGAAAGAATTCAAGTCCTAGTTCAAAATGCTTAATTACACACAGCTGCTGATTCCTACGAGTCCAGATCATGTACTCAGGTTCTCTGATGAATTTGTAAATAGGTATACTCTGAATCACAGATTTAATTTATTTTTCAGAATGTGTATGCATCAGCACAATTATTTGATTGTATATGAGGCTTGAATTGTAGAACAAAAAATAAAAAGACCAAAAATACCAGAAATCAATTAAATGTAATGTGAAGATAAAAATTCAAGTTGATCTGAACTTTATAAGACAAGCTGCAGAAAGATAAGTATAACTTACAGATCATGAGATGCAGTATATCCTTCTGAAAAGTAGTCATCTGAATTCTCATTCCACTGCTGGATCAGGATATTTATCTCTGAAAAAAGTTTCCTGGCTTCCCTATCATCTAGAAACTGAGACGCTAAATCAGCTATGATTCCTTCAAGTTCCAAGAGGATTTTCTGAGAGAAGCTGCTGCTGAGCCATTGCTCAAATACCTAGCAGATTGAACGCAAAACAGAACACACCTTGTTAAAGAATAAAAGCCTTCTTATTTAGACAAGACACAGAATTTGCATGTCTTAACAAGTAACAATGACAGTAAAATTTCTCCCTAACAATGTATCTAGACTCTGCAATGATTGGCTTCACAAAGGTTGATATGCAGTACAGTTTGTACTGTACTGCAAGTTGGCAATACAACATGCTACATCATACAAAGAACTAATGCTACCACAGCATCCTATGCTGTGCTGTCCTTACCCAGGAATGGTAAAAATGTGGCCTGAGACTGAAACCAACCAAAAGCAGACCTCCGTAGTCAATTATCCAGGCTTGCTTTCCCTTACAGGACTTCTGCCTACACTACTAACATGATGGAAGGCAGCAGCCTCAACATTTTTGGTGTCCCATTACACAAAGAGATGGAGAAGTAGCCTGCATGCTCCCATTGTGTAGCCTAGAATAAGGCATGCCAAGGCCTGGCCAAAGCCACTAACTGCTCTCCTTTCCTCCACCATTATGTTTTTTTACTGCCAAGTGGTTATAACAGATTTTTACTATAAGAGATGTCCTGTTTACCAAGTGAATTCCCAGGGGTCAGCAGCTTACAGTACATCAAGTTGCCATTATAAGGATGTCAGCTCTTGCAAACAATTTTAAAATCATGGCTGAAATTATTACCGGATTTTCCTACAGCTACAATAGGAATTACTGCATTAGTTTTGGCAATCACATTAAATTATTACTTCAAGTCATCATACATCAGTGAAACCTTTATCAAGAGAGAAATCAAAGGCTATACTTTTGAGGAAATACACAATAAGCTATACATCCTGTCTTTAGACAATACTGCAACCATCTCCAGACCAGCTCAATACACAGCTGATATAGTTTTACAGAAAAAAAAGATATAGTTCAGTGGGAAAAAAACCACCAGCGTTAGGGCAGCTAGGTGTTTTCCTCAGGAAACATCTGAATGGTTTATCTTTTTCTCCACAGAACTACACATATGTTGTCACAGAGACTGCATGCCTAGCTGTTCTGCCAGAGCAGAGTTTTAAGATGCAATACTGGAGATTTACTCTAATCCCTTCAATATGCTTCAACTACAATTGCCAGAGATAGTGGAGGGGAATTTAAAAGTATATGAATTATATACCATATCAAGCAGAGGCCTGTAGTCTGCTTTCAGTTTTGTCCTCAAGTGGGACAGTAAATGGGTCTCCTTCTGTCAGTCCTCTGCAGCATAGTATATTTCACTATATTGCCTATTAGATTTCAAGCTGGTATTTAAGTTAATGAGAAAATCTGATTAAGTGGACACATGATGATAGATAATAATTCCACTGCAGTGATTCTTTATAAGGATTACTTTGTCTTATTAGCAAGATGAAAAAAGTTCATGACAGCAACATTTAATACCTAACTCAGATCTTTTAAGTGAGTTACTGTTGACAGCCTACATGCAAAAATTAGGAATTTAGTCTATTAACTTATTAAAGTGTACCTGTGCATAGAGTCTGAGCTTGCTGACAGCATGAACAAGATACAGTTTGGCTTCATGCCATGCAGAAATACAGCCATCTTCATTGTTTTCTTTGTTTGTTTCATCTTCTGGCACACTGGAGAGAGCAGAGCACACAAACTGCTCCAGTGTCTCTCCTGTGGGAATCTGGCAGGGACATAATAAATTGATGAGCATCTCATGAGAGCTGATGAGTGCTACCTCTGCTATCAGCTTACCTATCTGGTGAAAAAAATGAATAGAATATCATATAGCCTTCTTCAGTGAGAACAAAGATCATTTAATCCAGCCTCATATTCTGGGGCACGCACTTCAAAGTACTCCACATGCAGAGTGTTGTACAAAATACCAGTGACCCCATTAGGGTACTCATACAGCAGGCAGAACAGGGAGACATGTATATGCAAGGAATTTTCACTGTGTAGCTACACCAGTGTTGCTACTTCTACAGTCATTTGCAGGCTGCTGCTGAACTAACTTGACAATGATATAGTACATCTACACTAGAATTTTGCACTAGAATAAGTATATTGTGAAGTGACTTCACAAATATAAAAATTACTGATGTAACAAGCATTCAGTACAATGATACCCCTCAACCAATGGATACATGCAGTAGACTAGTTTTAAATTGAAGCTGGTGGGATTCAGCAGTGTGCCAAGGGGCCAGAATTTTTTCCTTGTAGACGGACTTCTAAATTCTGTGTTGAAAGGTTTATTATTCCCAATCATATAAATATTATTAAAGCATACAAAAATAATTTATCACACTTTAATTCTCCCTATTAATGTCTTTCTGAGATTCTTTACATTCTAACTCCTTTCAATTGTGACTAGAAAATTCATTACAAGTTTTGCAGATGTTTTGATACCTAACAAGCTGTGGCATTAGATACAGAATTGCAGTGCTAAGAACAGATATTGTCCAGACTTCCATATTTCCCTCCATATTTTTTAAGGGTCTTCAATGCCCTAACACAAGCACACAATATCAAGATATTAGATTAAATAGTTATCGAGTTGCCTGGGGTTACACAGCCAACCATAGCTACAAGGCTGCAGTTGAATTCAGTTCAGCTGACAAACCGGTCATCACTGATATTTCATTAAAAGACCATTCAAAAGTCCAAGTTTTTTATAATTTATCCCTTTAAATAAATCATCTGTTTTTATATTGAGCTCTTTTGGAGTATAATTCTAGACTGTACCTGGCAAAGAACAAACAGATTTCATATAAATGGTAACATGTTCTATCAAAAAAAAACCTGTGGACTTTAGCAGAAATTCAAAACATATTTCAAGTTTTCTGCTGTTCAAACCAGACTATCAGAACAGAACACTTTGGTCTAGAAGAAAGTTTAGAAAGTCCGCTCTGAGAAAAAAGATTTCCTTCAAAATTTGACACATCACTGGTATATTTGAATAGACCCACTGAAACAACAGATCAGTCAAGTATATTCATATCAAGACTGCAGAACTGAGAAGAAAGGACTCCTGATGTGCCTGAATTTAGTCACAGAAGAGACAGGTATTCCTGGTCCGGCAAACCAGATGAAAAATGTTACCTGCGAAACCAACCCAGGCAGCTTCAAATCTAGGATTTTTTTAAAAAGCTTATCAGAACAAACCCCAGAATTCTCTACAGGATTGAATAATAAACTCAGGACTTTGCCATACTCAGTGATGACATCAGAGAAGCATAAATTCATTAATGTACACAACTAGATCTATCAGTATCTTCATGTACAGAAATTACAGCTGGAGCTAAATACATTTATTTTGAGGGGAACACAGCCAGGATATTTAGCAGTCTTGTAGGTGCTTCACAAATCTAAGATACAACTATAATTTCTGTAAGGCATGAAAAATCCCTTCAGGGTGCAAATAAAAATGAAGATGAAAGAGAGGGACACTGAAATTTTCAAGTTATTTACCTTTGTTAATTGTGCTGTATAACTAAGCAGCTTCTCAACATGAAGATCATCAAAACCAAACCTGGATTCAAGATCTGCTCTCACACCATGGGGATTCCACAAAACATCCCCAAGAGAAAGATTATACTGAAAACCTGAAAGAAAGGAAACCTGTTTACATAATTCCTGCTTTCTATTCATGCTACTTCTGGTTGATTCATACTTAATGAAATCCAAGTACAATGTTTCCAGCTTTTTGGGAAGCAAAAAAAAGTGTGCACCTGAACACCACTTTCACTAGGATAAAATCCATTATTGCAAAGTAGGATGGAAAGGTCACTTAATCTGATTTTATTCCAACAGTTGATATGGTGAGATCCCCTGCACAGTGCTTGCCAGCAGACCCCGCTGGGTGCCATTCTGAACTGTGTGTCAAATTCTGCATGTAGTCATGCAATTGTGTGTGTATGGGCTGGTTATGAATAATTCTTGAGAGGGAGAGCACCAGGATAATACGAGAAGACCCAGGGAATTCAAGCTCATTCTCTGTGCAAGGGCTACAGCATATTACCTTTGTGTCACTTCAGTCTTGGTTTGGACAAATGAAGTGGGAATCAGCTCACATATAATTCTTAGACTGACCTTCTATGCAGAGCAGACAGACAACTGCATGCAGAATATAATTGTGTGTCACCAGACAGTTTGACAATGAAACTTGTTCCTGACCTTTCCTTGAGCTGTCCTGGGGCCAGCCCACCTTCCCCAGTTAAACTCATTTCCCATACCTAAGCAGCAGAGGAGGAAACGTAGCTCTTGCACTGAGACTAGAATTTATGACAATAGAAGAATGTCACTTGAAGGAAAACAGCCATAATGCTTACCATACATTTCCAAAGCAAGAGGCTATCTTTCTATCAAATGGAAGAAAATTATCTTTTGTAGTGATTTAGTCTCTCACCAAAATCCACCACTGAAAGATCATTCTAAACACGATATATTAGACCAATGTGCTTTGTTTACCAAATAGTTGCCAGTCTGATGAAATTTAGTTACTAGTATTTAAAAAACAGATCAATAAAGAAACAGCACTACAGCAATACAGTTCAATTCTTAGACCTTTTACATCAGGAATTTAGCAGAAGCTCAGCCGGTTATTGCTATCACATATTCCCCAGCACGCATTCCGTTAAAAGGTACTTCAAAAAAAATCTGAAGCAAATTCTTTACCTTTTAAGCTCCTGTCCTGTACTGATGCAGCAGTTAAATTCAGCGCTGTTTTCACCACTTCATAGAAACTTTGTTCCAATGGTATCATAGCTAAATCCTTCAATAATGTTAAAGTACTGAAAGTTAAAAATAAAACAAAAATCAAGGTCTCTAGACACCCAGAAAAACCAAAAGGGCTTGGTGGAAAACTATGAACTTCAAGCAATTTAATATTAAAATACTTTCATTATTTTTGAAAAACTGATGTTTTGTCAAATTAGACTTTTCATTAAAAAATTGCTATTTTATAGTTAGAGTTCCACTCAAATTTCATTAAGGAAATGTCTCCTAAGAGGACCAATGTCCTCTTAAAAAAAAAAGGATGAGTGAAAAAGAGTGAAAAGTGAGAGCAAAACCACGACAAGCACTCTCCCTGTATCCTCACAACAAGGCAGGATGGACACAGAACACTTATATTTTACTTCCACTCAATACACAGAGAAAAAAGAAAATTTAAAGCAACAGAACGCTTATTCTCACAGCAAATTAAACAAAGCACATCAAAGAATGCATTGATTAAAATGTATCTATTGAATTTTTTACAAGTCCCAGTCTCAGTCACCTTACCTGTGAAACAACCTCCTTTGTTAATGTAGCTGTAATTTACTACTTAAAGCTGACATTAAATTTACCAGTTATTTCCTACAGAGTATTCCTTTGTTATTAGGAAAATAAGAATCCAGTTTTGTTAGAGTGGATCAGCAGTTTCCAACACATGTGAGAGAAGAAAAAAAAAAAAAATCAAAAAGCCAACATTATGTAAATTTACCAAGTAGGTGTGAAAAGTCTCTGTTAAGTACCTCAAAGAGATATAGCAAAGATAGGGCAGCCCAGGAAGAGGAAGAAGTTGTAAATTCAAGATCATTTCTGCTGACTAAATTCTGCCTGGGCTAGGACCTCTAGAAATGTATATTAGTAATACAAAGCTAGTCAAGAAGTGAACATTGGTTTTTGTGGTATGCTTTCCAAATAGCATTAATTATGGCAAATTTGGTCACTGAAGGGCACCAAAGTCTTAAAAAGAACAAAACCCAAATGTTAACATTTTAGTCTCCTCTTATTAATCACTTGTGGATTGACCCCACCTGGCAGCCAAGCACCTCCACAGCTGTTCACTCACTCCCTTCTCCCATGGGACAGAAGGAAAAGAAAAGGAAGGCGAGATTTATGGATCAAGATAAAAACAGTTTAATAGATTGTGCTGGTTTTGGCTGAGATAGAGTTAGTTTTCTTTATCGTAGCTAGGAGGGAGCTATGTTTTGGATTTGTGATGGAAAGGGTGTTGATAATACCGGGGTGTTCTTGTTATTGCTGAGCAGTGCTTACAGAGTCAAGTCCTCTTCTGCTTCTCTGCCTTCTTGGGGGGGTGCACAAGAAGCTGGGAGGAGACACAGCTGGTACAGCTGACCTCAACTGACCAAAGGGAGATTCCATACCATATGGTATCATGCTCAGCATATAGAGCTGGGAGAAGAAGGAGGAAGGGAGGGGGTGGACATCTGGAGTGATGCCATTTGTATTCCCAAGTAACCATTATGCGTGACGGAGCCCTGCTTTCCTGGAGATGGTTGAACACCTGCCTGCTAATGGGAAGCAGTGAATGAATTCCTTGTTTTGCTTTGCTTGTGTGCCTGGCTTTTGCATTATCTATTAAACTGTCTTTATCTCAACCCCTGAGTTTTCTCACTTTTACTCTTCCAGTTTTCTCCCCCATCCCACCAGTGAGCAATGAGTGAGGGACTGTGTGGTGTGTGGTGCTTATTGCCAGCTGGGGTTAAACCATGACACAGGTGAAGAAAAAGTCTTGCGGAGGCAGACAGGTTTATTGGCCTCTTTTAGCCTTATAAATATGTTAATTGACTACATAACAATTACCTGCCTAACTATTACAATGAACTACCTCATCTGGCAAATACACTTCCTTTTTGCTAACAATTCCTGTAGATACTTCTCTTATTCTGTGCTTTTGATACCATGTCTTCCTCTGAATCCAACTGTCCTTTACCTAAGGCAGAAAACTTTCATATTCAGAATATAGTCTCTGAGGGTTTTTCCTTACTGCTTCATTTCTTGCAAGAGAACAGCCAAAGCTACTTTGACAGCGAGAAGCTTGAGAACTAATATGGAATAATTTTCCCGATATTAACCAAGTGCTACATACATATAAAGTTGATTAGAATCTAAATGAGGATTTTCTTAAATTAATATGTAAATATTCTGTCTTTGAAAGAGCCTCAAAGCCCATTACAAAGTTCAAAGCCATATTAGGTAATGGGCTAATTTCAGCCATTGCTAAGAGGAAGCTATTTGTTAGAGACTCCGAGGGAATCTCTGCTCAGCTGGATAGAGATAAAAAATACAGTTATGAAAGAATCAGAATGGGTGAAAACTACACCTCTATAAAAGCAGAAGGAAAATTTCAGCCTTTTTACACTGATACGGGTGCTTATTTTATTAAGTAGTCAGTGAGAAGTTCAAGAATTGCAGGTAAGATGTTAAAACGGAACACTTCCAAGAATATAAAAGTACTTACTTTTGAATAACATTAAGAAACTGTGCTAAGGCAGCTAACCCATCTTCTGTATAAAAGCCGTTTGATTCAAGATGAGGGAGTGAATGCAGAAGGTTCCAGAGATATGGTTGCTTGTACAGGTTTTCCGCTCTAGAGATCATTTCCTCCACTTCATTCAAATCCATCTTCATGTGAAGAAAACATATTTACATGCAACATTTCCATTAACAGAAAAAAAATAGCAGGTGCCTGTTACTTCCCCTACTCCTGCCCTCTTGGATTTTAAACCATTTAAAATATTTTTTCCAGGTGGAAAGATACTTCTAGCTTTGGTAATTCACCACATCATTTTGGTGGTACTTTAAACTTAATGGCAGCTTTGTTTCTAATGTCTTTCTCTGCTGTGATGGAAAATGGAGCTGGGAGAAAACGTAAGAAATCTCTTTCTGCTCAGAAGTGTAACTCTCCCCCAAAGAAAAGGTTTATCTTTGAGATCTCAAACACAGGGAGCTCTTTAGCCCTGCAATGAATCTCTAAGTGTAGGGTATAAAGACCAGGGGACTGCCAGGGACATGCCATCCTTGCCTCACAGCTCCTTGGAGGGTGTGTGGGGGTGTCAAATAATAATTGATAAGAACGGCTCTTTAAAGATAGACTGGGGTAAAACCACTTCTTTTCTAGGACTACACTATCAGATGCTATTGCAAAATGCAGAATCTATCATATTTGTTTATTATGCAGTCTTTGTTTTTCTAAATGTTTCACTAGGGCTCTTTTGGATAATGGTAATAGGAGCATGGTTTATACAAAAAGAAGCTTGTGTATACAAGTTCTGTTACTGATAATGATAGGCCACTTTCAACTAAATGTTTTCTTAATGTTGATAAATGCATTTTTTTCTGTTTTATATTCCATTCGAGGAATGAAATTTCATATTGCTACAGTTCTTTTCAACCAAGTGTCTCATGAGCAATTTAAAAATGTTACTATAAAAATGCCATCTAATTTCAAGGTCTAAACCAGAAATCCAGGTTTCACTGAAGTAGCAGTTACAATCAACCAAATATGGAGAAAATGCATTTTAAAATACTTTTAAAGTGATACCAGTGATCTGTGAAAGGTACAAAATTGACAGTAATGGAGATCCACTACTGTGCCTATTCAGCCTTCCTCTTTGTGTTGAGATTGCAAGGGTGAAAGACTAATACATTAGGGGCAGCACAAAGACCAAAGTCATTTCCCATAAACAGCCAGAGAGGTTCTGGAAGGTATTATGCTGCGTCTTGCAAATCTGTCTTCCTTCACCCCACTTGAGTCTGCGTGCAATGCTTACTAGATCAAAAATCTGTAATACCACCCAAGTAGGGCCCCCATTTTTTCAATCTCACCGCAGTTCTTTTTTAAGTTTTGGGGTTTTCTTTTGGTTTGGTTGGTTTTAATAATAAGTACACATTAGGATAAGAGTTCCTTGCAAGACATTATGTAATATGATTTTATACAACTACACAAGGTCTGGGAGATGTACTTTTAAATTACTCCTAATGAAAAATTAGCCTTCAAATAGCTGTGGATTTTAGCTACTAACTACCTAGACTGGTTTAAATCATTAATCTAGAAATGACTGAACCTTTATCAAATTTACAAAACATTTTTTTCCTTCAACAGTATACCAATTTTTTTCAAAAACAGTTTACTAAAAACTTGACAGGATACAAATTTCTAACCATAATAATAAAGATGCCTCAAAATCCAGAACTGTAATTTGGAAATAGACTGTAAAAATACTTACAGTAAGAAAAGTGGTGATGTTATGAAGCCCTGTAAAATAAAATATTTTCCTTTACAGAGAGGCATTATTATCTTCAGAAGAATCAATTTTAAAAGCAATAGCAAGCAGTACACAAAGGGCATTTCTACAGGAGTAAAGGCATATGAAACAACCAATTCCCTAGAAAGACAGCAATTCACTTGTTTTTCTGTGGTTTCCAATACTTTTACTATTATCACAAAACAAATTTAAAATAAATCACTTACCATTCACATTTCAATAAGGCGAAATCATCACATCAACACTAGATGAACGTAATAGCTCCCAGCCAGCCAGGCATAAAAATTACTTTTTTGCCTAAATCTTTCTGCTTGAAAACTCAGCAAGGCAGGGCAGCAGTAAGTCTTAAATGCCCACCTGCTACAGCAGCAACGCTGCACAGTATGGGTGGGAACAGAGTGGGAGCATCAGAACTTGGTGTTTCCAGTCTCACTCTTTTAGTGTGAGACTGACTTGCTTGCCTAAAGGTCACCAGGTGTGAGAGACTGAGGTTTTCCATCCCTATACTCTCTAGTACAACAGAAAAACCTGGGGAGAACAACTTGAATCCCAATAAGTTACTTCTGAATGCATGTTAGACCAAGTAACCATGTACTCAGATTACTAATCCTTACCTTAAAACCTTCCCCCTCACTGTATTTTGTTAACTATCAAGGAGGAAAACAAGGAGAGTTTTAGAAAGCTAACTTTTTTTCTGATAATTTTATGATGGCCACAGTAATGGTAATCATAAAAGTGTATTTTTTCAGATCAGCTAAAATTTTAGTTTGTTCATTTTATTTTTAAGATAACAGTATTACGTTGTTTGATGGTTAGCATTGATAGACAAAGCAATTCATTATTAGAAAGATCACAGCTTACCTGAGAACTTTGAATTTTCTTCCCATAGCTTTTCTAAAGCCATGGTTTTCTCTGTGGTCTCAATAAATCCCTTTGCAAGTTCTTTTATTTCTTTCATGAAGTCTAGATCAGGTCCTGTGAAGCTCTCTAGACCACTTTGGCTGCCTGAAGTACTTTTTCATAGACAGAAATGGGACAGGGGAAGTAATTACAAACTGGAAGCAAGTAGCTGAAAAATGTGTATATTCTCAGAGCAGTATATTCTGACTTTTTTTTCCTATTATGCATTTACAAAACTTTTATTTAGTTCAGTTCATTACCGTGCAAGTTACAGCACTGAGTCTCAAAACCTCAGGAAAGAAGGCAATGAAAGATTGCTGAGCTGGAGCAGCTCAACTCTGCTGGTAACTCAATTCTGGCAGCAGGCAAAGACAGATACATCCAAAGAAGTCTTTGATGTTTCTGAACACACTCAACTTTTCTCCCCTGGTTTATCATGAGTTCAAGTGATGGTTCTTTGATAGTCTGTATCCTGAAGTTCAAGCTTTCCTATTGCATCTAAGGCAACATGATGCAACCAGAACAGGTAAGTTGGTCAGTGTCACCTGATGAAATATAGGTGAGTCCCTCTTTCTGGAACCTGAAGAAAGTTGGTGCTTCCTCTTTCATTAGTTTACTAAGCAACAGAACTATGATAACAATTCTGCCACTTTAACAAAAAAGCATCCACACTAACAAACATACACCAATTCCAGATGATGTGGTACCCTTCTACTTGAAAAGCAAGAAGAATAGCCTCTCTGCCTATATATTTTGGCCTTATGCTGACACACACACACAAAAAGTGTTTGTTGTCAGGAAAACCTATGCAGTTTGTATCTGGGATATGACAGCTTGTGTTTTTTTTCAAATATATGCAACAACCTATACAAATAGAATCTTGTTATCACTACTGGCTTTCCCCTGATTTTAGCTTACAGCTAAAAACCTGGTACATGTTTTCTATTGTCTCTGTAAGACTACCATCTGGCGGCTGCTCAATAGCACAACAATTTTCTAACAATACTTTCAAGATGAAATCTCAAGTCAAAGAGTCGTTTAAACGTCTCTTTACAGGACAAAATTATTTAGACTCTCCCAAGGCACCATAAAAAATTGAATAATCATCTTTAGCATGTTACTAGTCAGTTGAATTCTGTTCTATCTTACAGGAAGTTCCAATGATCTTAGGGTTAAATCTTGTGCAGCAAAAGTACTGCTATTTTCCATTAGAAGCACAATTAACTGTCACATAGCCTGACTTCCAAAAATATAATGAAGAGTTACATTCCTTTCTTGTCAAACTTGTATGTGAATACTAGTTTTTGGCACAATTCCTACTTATTGGTGAAGAAAAGCCTAGCAAGAGAGATTCACAAACTGAAGCAAAGACATCAGCCACTGCTTTCTGATTGTCTTGTTTCTCTTTCTCTTCCTCCCTGATCTTTGTTTGTTCAGACACTCACAGAGCTGTCTGCAACTTTAGACTAAGGGATAAGAAGAAAATTTAATCTTAAAACAATCAAGTTCTTGATTGTTTCAGTGAAGTTTATGTTGATCCCAACTTGGCCAACAGCCAGTGGGATTTTGGAAAACTGTCACCAGCCTCAAACTTTAATGGATTAAAGGCAGAACAAGTCTCACAACATTTTTTTCCTTTTAAACTGAGTTTTTAAAAGCAGGTTTCTATTGTCCAGAGGACAGTTTTTAGGGTGATTAATAACTGCACTTTAGCTATTGCTTTTGAAAACTACCACATAAATTCCAATATTACTAACACACCCACTGCGCAAAATTTCAGACAGCTAGAAACACTAGTGTTTGGCAAAGAACATTAACTACATACTGAAAACTTTCTAGTGGTGTGATTTTTGAGCATGAGCAAGTGGCCAGCGCTTTACCAGAACAATTACAACCACATTGGTTAAAACACAAATCCAGTCAGAACTTTAAAAAACAATATTCTAGCTCAGTTTCCACAGGATTTTCCACAGGTTTTTTTCAAGATACTCTCTGAACTTTAAATTGTGAACTAAACACACAAAACAAGGTCACTTAAAATAATCACAAGTATTCAGAGAAATTAAACATAAAGGCAGTATTTCAACCCACATTGTTTCCCTCAAAACTAGACGTAAGCCTTGCATCCCCATGTACAAATCTCCGTTTTAGAAGCACCGCAAACAATAATGATCTGGGGAAAAAGGATACTTCTATTCACATAGGATCATATGGCTGGGCTCAACGCTGGCACAAGGGGTGCCGGTGCTGCCCAGCTTCCCTGCCAGCAGCAGGTTGCACAACTGACAGTGAAAGGGGAGTCAGCAACTCCCTCTCCTCCACACCCATCAGTGACTCGGCCACACCTTGGATCTGCAAAGTTTGGGTTGACAAAGAGCGGGGGAACAATAAAAACTCTTTTGGCATCTAAGTGCTATAGCCATCTGCCTGACATATAGGAAAAGCACACCCGATAAC